ATTATTTTAGCTTGTATGGTGACAGGATTTTGAAAAGAAGTGTAAGTGCCCCAAAGCAGAACCGAGCAGAAAAAAAGGTTTAATACATTGAATGTGTAAAGCTTTCCTTCCCACAGGTTTTTGCACAGATGGTCTTGGGGCAGTGCCAGGAACCTGCAGGTGCAGGAGGCCTTCCCTTAGTCCTCATTCCCTTCAAGCAGCTCTCAAACTCACAACTTTTTGAACCCTGAAAGTACATTGCTTTTTGCTTCTCACCAGATGATATATAAAGGTTTTGCCAGCCAACTGGGAAGCCTGTTGCTTGAAATCCTTCAGAACACTTTGTCTTATCTGGTAAGATATAGTCAGCTGAAGAGAAAGATGCACATGTCATGGTAAGTCTCAGAACTATTACTGGTTGTCAGTGTTTTGCCCTATCAAAGGAGGTGAACAGCTCTGTGTTGTTGCTATAGTAGCTGCAGTTCCTGAGCAACATCCTGAGAGTTCCAGGGGCCGTGAAGGCTATTCCAAAGACAGTGATTAATGCTACGATGTTTGTAGGCTCACAGACCTGAAGGAAGCCACAGGAGGTCATCTAATCCATACTTTTGCCTGAAGGCAAGGTAAACTCCACTTAAAACATTCCTTACAGACATTTGTCTAACCTGATCTCCCCACCAGAGATGGAGATGGAACAACATCCCTGAACAATTTACTCCAGCACTTAGCTCGTTTGTTTCTCTCTTCTTGATCTTCAGCTGCACAGTTCTTTTTGTCATCTGTCATAGCTCCTTAGCTTTTGTGATGTCCTTATTTGTAAGGCTGGAACTGAAAGTAAAACAGGGTGATTCATACCTCTTAGATTAGTTTAAAATACGAAAGTGAGGACCAAAAGAAAATACAGATCTCTTTTGCTTTACGTTAACCAAATGAGCTCTGCTTGTCTGTGGAACGGGTTAAATGGAATCCCTTGGCTTCCAACTACCTTTCACCTAAATAAATATGAACAAATTCTGCTTCTGAAGCACATCATGCTGAATAATTTAGGGACTGTGGGACTGCATATTGTACATAAGGGTATTGCAGGGGATAATATATCATAACTGTGTATAGAGGCTTTCTGTAATTTGAAATAGAATATATATGCGCAATATCCTAACAGAATATAATGTATACTTGACAAAAATTTTCTGTCTGAGAATTAGTGTCTTTGTCAAAACGACAGACCAAAAATCTAATGTGAAATCCACGTTTCAATAAAATTAATGGAGCCCATCACTAGGACTTGAGAAAGTAGTTTGTGATGCTCTGACAGTGTAGTGGTCATAAATAAGCTGGATCAATTTTCCAGAGAACATCTAGACAGGCAAAACAAATCTGCATTGCAGCACCTGGGAGCCTGGAGTGTGCTGGGCATGTTAGGGCCGAGAGGCGTGGCAGCAGTTCTGCTCTAGTTCTATGGGGTATGGACACACATATTCCATATGGGATGCAAAGACCTGAACAGCTTTGGGCACCTGAGCAGTGTCAGGTGGCCTGTCACGTTCCACTGGAGCTCATGTTGGGCACGGCTTGCTGGAACATAAAGTGACTTCAGGGCGTGTTGCTCATGGTTTCATCATTTCAAACAAAGATTCCATTGAAAATATTTGTATCTGTTGATAAGCAAATCAATTTTATGGTTTTTTTCAGTGCTTGTTGCTTCTAAGATTGTTATGCTAAGGATTTTAGTAGGGGCTGGGAACACTGGTCAAGGTTTTCCATGAGGGACGATCAAGACACGTGTGATTTATCCATCTGATGTGAAATATTGAGTGAAAATGCCCACAGCGCACCAGGCAGGAAGAACATCTCATTTATTTAGTTCACTGGGAATAAATCATTAACCAACACTTCACATTCATGTCAGTCAAAACTAAATTTCCATCCTGAGTTCGTTTTCATTTTATGGCCCTTCTATTCATCAGTGTGTGCTGAATTTGACCTTAAGACAACTTTATGCACACTGTATAATTTGACGCAACTGAGTGCCATTAGAATTCTAATGAATACCATTACCTGTAAAATGATGTTGGTACTGAAAGTTATTGCAAGTGGTAAGAATATTAAACTCAGTGCCACTGAAATATCTGAGTTCTGGTACCAGTTTTAAATCTTTGATGCTTTTGATGATGAATATTAAAAACTAAAACTGGATGCATCTACACACATACATACCTATTTTTGTGACATTTTCCTTGCCTATGCAATGAACTGACTAGAAGTGATACAATGGCACTGGTAACCTGGACTTATTACCACTTTCAATGTCACACTATTCTAAATAAAAGAATCCACTCAAATGAAATGCTATAACTTAGGATTTCTGTGCAAAATACTGTATAAATGTCTGTTTAGCAGCCTGCTGAGGGAGGGCAGTGGCTGCTTTGTGGTACCTCTGTGGAATGGCAGTGGGCTTTTCATTTTGTCTGACAAAGTTGCTGTAGAAAAAGACTGGCATGTCTTTGCCTCATCCTCCAGAAGAGGAAACACTTGTTTCCCTGGTGTGGACGGACTAGGATGGGAGCTCAGGGTGTGACTTTGCCCTCGTAAGTGAACACATTTGTTGCACACGGTCATATGTCAGGGTGCCTTCAGAAAGCAGAAACAGCACCAGAGCTCCTGAACTTCTCTTTCATCTTGGCTGGCTTTGTGTCTCAGGTGAGATGTAATTTCCGTTGTGATGTTTGATTCAGCTGTAGGTCATCTCCAGCCAGAAGATGACTTGGTTGTGTTTCTGTTCAACAATGGGTATCTCAGAGCTCTTCTGTGCCTTGTAAATAGAATAATATGCTGACTGAAAAGTGTAGTTTTATGCAGTTTGGATTTGGTGAAAAAATGAGTCCCTAACTTCCCAAGTAATTTTTCTTTACTAAATTAATTGAATAATTTCTGTAGTGTTTGAGTTTGGGGACTGGGATTCCTGTGGGCAATTGGGTGTCACTAACTAAGAGATGCATTCAAAGTCCTAATCCTCCCTTGTGCTGAACTATGGTACAAACTGGAACAGTCTAACAAGAGAGGTCAGAAGAGATTAGTTCTCTGTAGCCCAGAGTTTGGGGGCAAACTGTTTGGAGATGGACAGCTGGAGTTCATAATCACACTCCAGGACAGACAGATTGAAATGTGGTTCCTGGTACAAGTTGTGCACAAATTATGGGGAGGGAAGGAGGTTGTTGAGAGACTGAGGAGAGGGAGAGGGTAAGCATCTGTTTTTTGACTTTTTCCTTGGAAGTCCCTGCATGAGACTACTTTGTATTTTTTTCTCTTCAAAAAAATAAAAATCTGCAAATGGAAATGTTTTATTTTGGATAAAAATAGGCACTGTGTTGCTACTTTTCGCTTCTCTTTTCATCAGTTTGTCACTGATGACTAACCGATGGAGTTCTGAACAAGTGTGGTTTTAGTTTAGCTCTAGAAACCCATGCAAGGATTGCTCTTAAGCACTGTATTAAATTAGCTGGGCATGTTCTGATTTCATGCACTAGCATTTGAGAAAAATCCAATATTTTTAAAGAAAAAAATTCAATCCGCTAAGAAGTATTACTGAAATATTTGAATCCAGCTGGACAGAATTATTCTAACTGGAGAAAATTACTCCTTTATTCTGCACTGTTGAAAACATACTGTCTTCCAAATAGATTAGTACCCAGGTAACAGAGAGGTAACTTATTTCTGTCCCCCAGTCTCATATGCCCATCTGTCCTATCTGTTTAGCCTCTATCATTGTAGATATAAATGTCTTCCAAACACTGAACATACCAGAATTTCTTCTTCTCTTTTAGACTGAAAACCTACGTGCACAACATCTGCAAATTAGAGCTGGCAACAGGAGAGAATGTATTAAAATGTAAATCTGTCTGTGGCTCATATAAATATAAATCACAGTGTAAATCTCATGCTTATCTGAGGTAGTTGTACATGAAAAAGTCTTTGTACAATTCTGTCAGTAGAAGAATTTTTTTCAAGTCAAACTGGTTTTTATCGCATCCAGAAAGGGAAATGGGTAAAAACAGATTTCTTTTTAATCTTATGGTAATTCTAATTTTAATCCAGATTCTTATCAGTCAGTGCTGTAATTATTTCTAATTGTTCCAAACTCACTGAGGTTAAATTATAAACTGTACTCCATAGAATATTTTAAACCCTAGAGTATTAGCAAACTGCCAGAAGATCAAAATAGACATATATGAAAAAAGTCAGTTTCCCACATAATTGCCATTAGTTTTATCATGATTTAATGCAAATAAGTATTGCATGCATAATTATGCAACCAACTTAATGCAATTTGCACATGCAGAAATCCAATGTAATGAATATATAAACAAAGCAGAAATGCAGATTGTGTTTTCCTGTTTGCATATGTTTCTGTCTGTGTATCTATTTCATAGGCTTTGAGACCCAACTATCTGGGGTGCTGAGGTTAAAGAGCAGTCCCTGGGATTGGTTCCATGGCTAGAATTACCAGATGGCTTTTTGTGGTCATGCGTATTTCTGAGCATCAATTCAACGAAAACGATAGTGTAGCTTCCACGAGTTTTTTGAATGAGATGCAAAATAAACCAAGCATATTTACCAACCCAAACCTCTGCCCCAGAATAATTAGGTTTGCAAATTTTCAGAGATCCCACAGCCTATTTTTAGATACAGCTGGAAATGGTGTCAAGCATGACAGTGTCTTTACACCTCACAGTAAGAGTGGGTCACTCGCAAGATTTCTCACCTAAACAGTTTGGTTTGCAGGACTTTATTACAGGTTTTTGGGGGAAAAAAAGGATTTATGTGTCTCTATAAGTACAGGAAAGATAAATTACCTTGGCTCCTACCTTTGTTTTTTTTTTCTAGTCTAATATTTCTGTTATCGTAATTAATTCATCCTGTGCTTACGGAAAACTTATCAAAGTTCAGCCTTTTCAGTGCTCTGTCTTCTCTTTTTCAAGTGCAAGACCAAACTGATTCCCCTGTCCCGTGTTTTCTTTCAGTGCCTCTTCCCACCCCACTTGAACAGTTCAGGTTCTGTCAGCCTTCTTGACAATCATGAGCTGAGGTACTTCTACTCTTTTCAATATTTTGTTGGGTTTTATTTCTGCTCATGTTCATTCATTAACTTTTAATTTTTTCAGGTGTAAGATCAGTGCTATTTCTTCTGTCTTCCTTGTCCATAATCTGGCTTTGATTCCACTAGTCAAAAGGCTTTATTACATATGTGGTGAGTGGAACAAGAAGGGCTTTAGCAGGTTACTGACTTAGTGTCAGTACACCACAGAGCATCAGCACATCCCTGCCAGGCAGTGACCTTTTTTTGTCCCCTTCAGTTTTCTTAGGCTGATTTTTAAGGAGGCAGCACCACTTTTCTTCATCCTTTCTTTTTTTTTATTACTTCAGATCTTTTCAGTTTTGATCTTACTTTGAATAGCAATTGGAAAAGAATATTCAAGCTCATATTCAATGTCTAGGGATTTAGCAAAGTCATGTTAGAAACAGTTCAAAGTAGCTCCATATAAAGTTCCATTCAAGTAGGGCTGATATATTTTTAATTTATGTTTGTGTGAGTGATAGAAGGAAGGTACACTTGTCTGTGTCTGTATCTGCAATGGATTTACAAGGTCATTTTACTAGGTTAATGGCAGGTTTTCAGGCACTCATAGCTGTGTGGTTGTTTTTAATCCTACAATTGGGTGAATTCTTCCTACTAAGAAACACATCTTGTTGACCAAAGCAGTAGCAAAATTTATATTCTGAAAACTGCACACTGTGGAAACTTATATAGAAACACAGATGGCTGGGTTGTGATTTGAGACATGGGAACTATGTGGTTCTTCAGGTTCTTAGGATGTTTCATGGCTTAGAGGGCTGCTCTGCACCAAGAAATGGATTGTGCTGTCTACATCAATGCTATAATGACAATTTAAAATGATGGCAATGGTCCTGCCTTGGAAGGAGACTTTCTGCTTGTCTCCTTATGACTTCTGGAAGAACCAGGCAGTCTGCCTACATATGAAACTTTTGAGGTTATTTCCTTGAAATCTTTAATTGCCAAAGAGACACCTTAAGTAACAGCTTCCAAGATTTGTCCTGCTGAGAGCCTGAGGAGGCCAGCAGCTCTGGAAGTGGGAGATGAGGCAGGTGAAGAAAATAGAACAGAAATGTAGGAGATAGCAAGGCAGTTTTAGGGCATCTGTACAGCAAAGTGGAACTTTCTGTTGCATGAGGCTAATTTAGCTGTGCATCTCCTGGAGCTCCAGGGCGAGGAGTCTCCAATCTAACACACTAATGCTTGGCAGCTTTCCAGGTAAATGCACATATGAGCTTGGAGCTGAGCGTTGCTGCTGCTCTGGCTATTTTGTGCACATCCCAGGGCCGTGCTTTGGGAGCAGGGAATTGCACTGGTACTGATGAGGTCCCGTGTAACTCACTGTATGACAGAGGTGGAGAATTAAGCCCAAGTGTAGCTGCTGTGACTTCTTTGCAGGTTTTGCAGTCTGTTACAATGCAGCTAAGTAATAAAAGCCTGTCTGGGTACCTGACTGAGATCTGCAGGAATTCCTCATTATCCCTCTGAAACTCTTAGTAATTCTCTTGTATGTATGCAATGTTCTCTGTGTAATTTCACTGCCATGGGAAGGGATATGTCCCAATGTTTTTCTAGTTGTGCACTTTGTAGTGTTGTGAAAACAGATTGCTGCTAATAGTAAATATTCCATTTTGCAAAGACTACAAACAATATGTGAAAAGGTCACTATTTTTTGAGACTAAATCTAAGACGTGTATCCAGTTTTACCATTTCTCAAAATTTTCCTGTTGAAGTGGAAAGTTATTTTTTTTTTAACAGATCGGAGGACATGAAAAAAGTTGATGATTACTCATTTCAAGTGGCAGTGACTCACCCATTTCATGGGCATCATTCCCTACATTCATAATGGATTTTGAAAATTGGAACTGACTTCTGCCAACAAATAAAATATTAATGAATGTAGGGTTGCATAATACAGTTTTTGCATAATGTAATTTTTCCCAGAAAATGAAATGACCACCTCCTAAAAATAAACTGAGGAAATACTTTACAGTTTTATTTTGTTGTGAGCCAAAAGATATTTGGGTGAGTTTGAATATATGTGCATTGGTATATTCATTATATACAGAGGCTCTGCAGCTTTGATGCATGCATAAGATGAAACTCCTAAGCGTGTATTATATGGTTTATTACAATGACTGCTGCATTAATTGTAATCACTTTATCATACTGTTGAGTGTGGACAGTTTTGGATTTGTTGAAAAGTGTACAGTGCACAAGGAAAGAAGTGAGGATGCTGAGGACAGTGGAAACTCGGGAGTTCATCAGCACACATGAGTAAACATTTTCTGTAAAAAATGACAAGGAAATTTTCTTCCACGCAGCAGGCAGGGATGCTTGACTGGTCTATAGCAGTTGTTAATCAATCAGTCAAATGGTCCCTTCAGTGTGGATTAAATTTAATCTGTCCTTGGTTACTGCCTAACCTTTCAAGTGACAGCACAAACCTTTTGTTCCCTCTTCTGCCTGAGGCTGTAGGTCGGGATTTGGGTCAAGGCCTTTGACAACAACTTGGGGAAAGCAACTGGATTTTCTAGAGTAAAGGGAAGGGTAATAAATAATAGCAAAGCCCATTAATCCTCTTTTCCATTAGTGACAATGTCAGATAAACCTGCCTAGAGACTCTTGTGCAATGTTACATGGATGATTTATTGCATGTGTAGTTTAAGATGTAAGTGTAATTTTGAAACATGGTACCTCTATAGATTCACCAAGTGATAGAATAGAATAGCAGATAAATTACAGCACCTTATAATGGGCAATTTCAGTACATCTCTTCAACTGATTCCCCAGCCTTTTTTCAGTTAATTCTGGCTGCTTTGGGTGGATATGAGCATTGTTTGCTGAGAAGGCTGACAGGACACTTTGTGATAATAGTTGAAATTAAAAGAAACTTTCTTTGATGATGCACTTGGGGAATGGGTTTCATTTGGTTACTTTTCTCCTGCCTATTTGCTGTTTGACATATGACTTTTATAAAAATGAGCTAGTAATAAATTAATTTGTCTACTCTACATCTCAGGTGCAAACAGTAGTTATGGTTTTATAAATGCTTTTAAATAGTGGGAATTCATCATAATGGTGTATGAGGATGAATGTTTACCTCGTATTGAAGAGTTTGCTAATAATGAATAGACTCTAAACTTTCATCTCTTTTATATTTAATATCTGTATTGATTTAAAAATGCAAAATGCTTTATGCCAGGAGATGACTGTTCCTCAAGCTCTCCTTAAAATCACTGCTGTTCCCAACTGCAGCTGCATTTGCTTCTGAGAGAGGACTCAGCTACTTATTTATTCTGCTTGAAATTCACTGCACAAAACTATAATGTGACTGAGAGATGAGTTGCAGTGCACCTGCAGGCCGGGTGCAGGCACTTGATAGCAGGATGACTCAACCCTTCATCCTTCCACTCTGGCATTCTGCTGGATTTGCCTTATGTTTGACTAAGAAATAATCTTCCACGTTCTAGACAAACACATTTTCCTAACAGTTATTTACTATATGTTTTATTTAAAGCTTTAAGATACATTTATGCATCACTGTGGTTTGCTTAGATCTGCACCATGATTGTGCTTTGGTAATCCTTTAGAAACTATGGAATGAAAGGCAATTGAGAGAGAACACTCAGAAATGATTTCAAGGCTGACTTTTTAAAAAGAGAGCTATTAAACAGGTTAGTCACAACCATGAGTCACTCAAACTTGAGTCACGCTCGTTTTTTGGTGGCGATAGATTATCTGGTTTTCCTGTTTCTCCACGCAGCTATGAGTAATGCTGCACTAAGGACTAGGACTGCTTTGGAGAATGGCTTTTCCCCACTCTGCCTGAATACATTTTTCCACTGGGAAGTTTACAATGTCATTATTTGGCCCGTTCTTTTGAAACACTCGAGTGGCTAATTGCATGAAACAAGCAATGAGATGTATGCCAAGTGTTGCCTTGAGGAGAGAGGCAAGTAAGGGACCTCACCACCAACCCGTGGTTTGGGCCATTTCTGTGGGGGTTACTAGGAAATATTAATAGTTATCCTGTCTGGCATTAGCCCTTTTGCCACCTCCAGTGGCTGAGCCAGGAACCCTGGAGTAGTTAAACAGAGTGGAGAAGATCTGTGAGGAACAGAAAAAACAAGGGGGTGTGGGGGCGAAGAACCAATATGTCCTGAGATGGTAACTGGGTTGATGGTTTAATAACTGTTGGAGCTGAGTTTGGATGTGTTGGGTTCTTTTCTTCTATATTTGTAGAGAGCATGCATCAACACAGCTGTAGTGTTAGGCATAATCCCAGAGCCTTTACAACCATCATCCCAGACACAAAATTAGCAGAATATGTATTGGCCAAATGTTTTCAGCTTGGTGGCTACCTAAAATTAGTCTGAAACTGTGTAGGTGCTTAAATGTGGGTTTGAAAGCCTGGATTTGGGTTAGAAAATGTAGGCTGTAGTTCTTCAAGCATCAGCAGAGAGAGGGAAGTTACTGTAGCTCAGAATATTCCTGAATATGCCTACATTTAGACTGCAATAGTCATTGCTCTTTTTTAATAAGTACTGTCAGCATTTTTCTTAATAGGAAGTCATGATGTCCTTTCCTTGTATTCTTAAAAAAAAAAAAAAGATAGGGGTTCAAGTATTGTTTATTAGTTTTGAATGGCTCTTCTTCTGAGAATTTTTCTAAAGACTCTAATTCTCTCTAAAAATGCATAGCTCACCTAGAAATAAAACTTTCTTCCATGACTGGTCAATCTTTCTGATTTATGCTGCATGACTGCTAGATGGAAAATATTATTAAAATTAGAATGAAAATGTCTTTCTTATATTTACAACTCTCCCTGAGTAATGTAAAACCAAAACATTTTTCTCTAGTTTGTCAAAGGGTCAGGGGACAACTTGAGATAGAAAATGTGATGATGTCATTAAAAGCACTCAATGTGCTTTACAACAAAGCATTCAAAAGGGAAAAGTAATTTTCACTGCCCTTTTGTAGCTAAGCTATTACAATAGATAGCAAAGTGGTAAAGCTGCTTCCTGCATAAATGTCTTTCCCACGTGGTTCTGGTTCCTTTCAACAAATCTATACAGGAAATATTCGAGTCTCAAATAGTTTTCTTTGGGACCAAATTTATGTGTAAGAGGTCATTTATTCACTGTCAGTAGTTGTTGTAAAGTTGCACAAGCTCTTCCTAGAGAAAATTCTTGCTTTCAAATTCTTTTTGAGCCTTAAATGCTATTGCTAACCTGGGATGAGAACATATTCAAACAAATAACCAACTGAAAAAGAGAACATGGAATGCATTTTGTTACCCAAGCACTGACTGCTGTCCTCTGTGTGTGCTGCAGCACTTCACTGATCCTGGAGACCTCTGTGAGACATTCTAAGTCAGAATGAGAAGAAAGCTCTTTTGCAAAGTCTTGTTAAGTGAGCTTTGTCCTGGTCCTTGTAAGATGACCTCCCCTTAGGAGTTGGAAAGAACTACAAAACTTGGCCTGATTAAAATCATTGGCTGTTGAAAGAACTTTTCTGTGGTGCCATGGGTGGGAGATAATCTGTGATCGGGCTATGTCGGAACTCAGATCTTGGCATTTGGGGCAAGAAAGTCTGTTCCCTAAGAAATGGAGATGTCCCAGTGTCTCTGGTATGGGGCATGCCTGCAGACAAGAGCTCGGTGCCATCTCAGGATACTCCTTTCACAGCAGAGGAGCCGAGCCAGCTCACCAGGTAGAAGTGCACACACATAAACACTAGGCAGTGCAGCAGGAGGATAAAAAGGCAAGAGCACAGATGGTGTGTGGTTATGTGGATATTCCCTTGGCTTTGTAAAGAAATTAGGTCCTGTATTCCCTGTGTGTCAGCGACTGCCACAGGTTCATCTCCTCCCCAGACTACCACTATACAAAAGAAAATATTTCTAAGTAATGAGTAGATAAATTTGAACATGTGTATAAGAAATCTGTGTGCTGTTCACTTATATTTTCTGTAGGGTTCTGATTTTATGCCATGAAGCTGAATATTATGTAACAGGGTTATTTAATTTTTGTGGAGCGTTGTTATCAGTCCTGACTTTTTTACTGTGTTGAAAGACATAATCTGCTGAGAATGTACATTTGGGTGAAATACAGTCCCCTCTGTCTTTCCCTTAATATGAAAGAAAAAAAGCATTCTGCTTACCGGAAAGAAAACGAAACCAAAAAACAAAACCAAATCGAACCAAAATAGCCTGAGAGTTAAACATGTTCTCAAACTTTGGAAGAACAAACTTTTATCTGTGTTGAGGAGCTATGGATTGTCATTCTGGTAAATGAAAATAGCAGGTGGTAGGACACTAGCATAGATCATGAGCCTGGATAGAAATAGAAGCCAGACAAAGGAGGACTACTTGCTATGAGAAGAAATTAAAACAGCAAGGTAGAAGCATGAGTTGACCATTGACTGTGACTGCTAATATTCAGTGGCTTATTCACAACATTTTGGTGACATACAAGTGCAGGGGAATATGGCATGACTGATGAGACTTTTCTGATGTCAATGGATCATGATATTGGAAAAGTTAATGGCCTGAAACTGTGGTTTTAAAATGTCATTGACTATACATTATAGTGAAGAGAAATTCAGAAAACAACTTGAAAAAGAAATTGTAGAAATGAGAAGGAGCAACTGGAGATTCACAACCCCCCATAAAAACAGATGAGCTAATGCCCAGAATTTAAGGGATTTCCCTTGGCTTCCCATCATAACTGTGTTTTATATTGTAATTGTTTGTTTATATTTGTTGTATTTACTCTGGATTGTGTTTGTGCCTTCCTATTATGTCCCCCAATACGAGTTTCTATTCTGTTGCCCACCACATTCTTTTTTGCCATGTGGACATCTTTTCCTCTCTTTGAGAGGAAATATGGCTGGGAGGAAATATTATGCTGAATTGACAGACAGGAATAAGTTAACTAAATGCAGTTCTTGGTAGGGTTTTGCCATGCCTCAGAAGGGGCTCCAGAGGGGCCTATGAGAAGTTGGATCTGTCTTGGGTTTACATTTACATGATGCATGTAGCATGTTCAGAAAAGGGCATATAAATAAACACATTACACATCAATTTTGACTTAATGACATCAACTTCTCCTCTGACCCTACTTGCCCCTGAAATTAATGAACACTTGGCAAAGGACTAACAAGATTCATATCTATAAAGCTACTGACTGTGGTGAATGGGGTTAAAATGCTCTCTGTGGGATCCTGGATCTGTACAGTTTTATCTTGTGTGTGCAAATGAAGACTCCTTGTTTTTTCAGATGTAGAAAGGAATGTCATCTTTAGTTTTTCTGAGATTTCAAATGTTCAGAATAATGCAGAGTAAAGCTAAATTCACTCCTAAACATCTGCCTGTATTCCTTTTTGTTTCCAAAAGAAAAGTAGTTCTGGTTATTCATTCTGACAAGAGTCTTAAGTTACAGATGATATTTTTGTAACTGCATTTATTGCTGTTCTCTTTCTGAATTTTAGCCATCATTCTTGGTGTCACACAAACTGTTAGTGGTTATTCAGAGTTCTCTGAATATGATCTAAATGCATAAATAGAAAGTAGTTTGTGTTAAGTGGCATAAGTGGCATATAATGGTGTAGTTCTGCATTTCATGTCTTGGATTAGTTTATACATTAATACTTCATAATTTGACTGAACCAGTTTGAATTTCCTGCAGTGCAACAAAAATAGAAAGTAGGAAGCAAGCTCTCTAGAAAAAGAAATATTCAAGGATTTGAAGGGTCTGTTTTTATACCCAAAAAGTACTCAGGCACACCAGGCCATCCTGCTGGGCTATTAATACTGTGGGGAATGTCCTTGGGTGGTGTAAACCAGCAAAGCTCTGCATGGACCCCAGAATATTTGCCCAGCCCTCTGAGAGCAGCCTGTTGGTGTTTCCAGTTGGGAGTCAGAGGGTAGAAACATCCACACATTTTGTAAATTAGAAGGAGGCTTAGAGGGTATACAGTGCAAACCTGTTCTTTGTGTTACCTGACCTGTCCCTCTGATAGTGAGTGTCATGTGGTGCACAGAAATGCTTGGGGAGGAAGGCCAGGTGCCCTCTGAAAACACATAATTGCTGATAATGGAGCTCTTTGATAATACTAATTAAAGAGGTGCTGCCTGTGTGTCACTGAGAATAAGCTCTGAAATTAGGCAGCAATGGCTTTAGGTTGGTTTTGATCCATGCCTTTCACATTGGTATTGATTTTGATTTAAATCATTCTGGCTTCTTTACTGCTGGGAAGATGAAGCTACAGGTGAGGCAGAGTAGTGTAGTGTGTACTACTCTGCTCCTTACACGGAGGAGGAGATTGAGAAAGATTTGCAAAGTACCTCATAAGTCAGTACACTGTTACAAACAGATGTGGAAGAAGACAAAACCTGAAGTCTTTCAGAGTTACTGTTCTGTGAACAGATGTTTGGAAGGAGCAGAAACGTGTTTGCACAGGCGTGTGTTTGTGTGCGTGTGTGCACACAGGTTATAAAACTGGGTTTCTGGGTGGTGAGGAAGAGCTCTGCAAAGGGAAATCTGAGGGAAAAATGTGTGCTTTCTTGTTTATTTTCTGCTTTCAGAAAACTAGTAGATTGCCCAGGTTAATCAGCATTGCCATCTACCAGCCATCTACCCAAGAAACAGCAAAAAATGACACAGAAACGGCAAAAAAGACACACGTTTTTCTCATTCCAGGGCTTAACAAGAACCAATTGTTTGGCTCCACTCATCTATGGACCAAACAGAAAAAGGCATTATTGTTTTTTGAATGTATGAGTCGATAGTTGCTTGGTTTTCCCTTTACTTTCAAATATTAAACTTTTAGAAAATGTGGTTTAGCTCAAGCTCATCTTTCCATTTAATTTTATTGTTATTATTATTAATGAAAAATGCTGGAAAAGCTATGCATTTAATCCCTAATTTGGCATTCTTGCACATAAATTACAGTCCAGCCTCCACCTGTATGATCACGTTCAAATTGTTCAGCAAGATCTCCAGTCTTAGAATGTAAAGGAAATTCTTGAATGTTTGAGAGTGAAATCTATTCCTGGCTGAGCTGGTTAGTTCTCTGTGGTTGTTTTTAGATGAAGAAACACAAAGTATGGAACTTCCTAATTCTGGCTTTCCTTAATTTTGATGTTCACGGGATACTAATTCCTCTTTAAAAACTTTAATGCATGTAATATTAATAAATACTGCTAATGTTTTCCATTGTTTCCAGTAGGCCTCTAAAATAATCAGACTAAGAGTGTAAAGTGACCCTGCAGCATTCCTGCACTATTGGATAGCTTGGCCAAAAAAGAGGGAACACTGTTTTAAAAGGCCACCACCCCCAAAATAAACCCACCGAAACAAAAGAAAACAACCTTATTGCTGCCCTTAGCTAAACACATTCTCCACACTCTGCTCCAGGGAGGAAGTGTTATCTTTTACAATACCTTTGCCTTTAATTTCCTCTCTTATCTTCCTACTATCACAAACAAAAGGAACACTGTGAGCTTGCAGACAGATCAGGTAGATAAATTAATTCAGAGAGGTCATTCTTGCGACTGATGTTTTCTTAAGTAGTGGTGAAGATCAAGGCTTTTTACATAAGAATTTTTACTTCCAGGTGTAGTGATCTGTTGAAGCATTCTGGGCACCTCAGTAAAATTAAGGGGGTGTGTGTTTCTCCATCTTGCAATGTTCAGAGGAAAAACTGGTTTTGAATTAGTGCTGTGTTGAGTTTAGCTCGATTTTGGTGTAAACCTGATGGAAACAGTTTTGTCATCTGTGACAGTATCAGGTTATCTGCAGTGGATCACTGCAGTCTAGCAAGCCTTAGCAGATCAGTCAGTGGTACCAGTTTGACTGCTACAGCTGGATTTATCATTCAGCCTTGTGCTGGATAATGATTCTTGCGCATCTGTACAGAGATTTTCAGCAGAGCTGATGGAATTTCATAAAGAAGCTTGTTCTTTAATAACAAAATTAGAGGCACGGTTTAGTATTTCAGCTTAGCACACTTCCTTGAGCCAGCAGGCCTATATGGAATCAGCTAATGCTAATTAACCAGGGCAGCAGGAGCGGGGTAACCCTCCAGCAGAGAGCTTGGTGTGGGCTTCCTGCCCCAGCAGTTACCTGTGGTGTTGGCAGGTCTCACCACTGACATGGTTAGTGCTTGCTCAGGTAAGTGCACCTGAGCTGCAAAAACATAATGAAGTGATGGCACTGTAGTGGTTCACAGATCAAAATTCCCAATCTGCACAAAATGAGGTAGTTCCATGACATTTTACCCTTTAAAAGAGGAGGGATCTGACTGATGTATGTCTGTGCCTTTTGGGCTACAGGGTAGATGTGCTTCCCTCGGTGCAAACTTGGGTGTACTATAGGAGTGCGTATGGGATTCATTGGCCCACCGCTCAGAAGGCTTGAGCAAGGAATTACGTACAGTTTGATTGCTCTCTGAAATATCTCCATAATATATAACCCTGAAGGTCTGTGCAGTTGCACAGAGCTTTATCCAACCCAACAGAAGTGCACCTTATGGAATCGCCCTGGATTGGATCAGGACAGCTGTGTCTGCACCTACGCTCAGCTCGAGTCTCCTTCTGCAGGAGCTTGTCAGTTCGTTTTAAGACGTACAGCAGGATCAACTGAACGCTTTTCCCCCCAGGCCTGTTCACTCAGATACGTCCTAATTAGGTCACTGAGAAAATCAAAGGTACAGAAACTGGACTGAGTGCTCACCAACTGGCTCCTGCATGTAACTGCTGTATTTTAGTTTAGCTTCTCCCAAGATGTTTCCTGATGTCTCTGAGAATGTTACCCATAAAAAGGCAGGCTGCTCGTCAAGGAAGCAAGTCAGTGAACACATGAATATTTTGAGCCACAGCATGTAGCATTCAGTATTTATCACTACAGGAAAGAACCATGTGACTTCTCTCTCACATGGTAGCTCCTTGGTTTATGCCTTACAGATTGGAAAATAGCAAAAGTATCCTGCAGGATCACTTTTGAAGAAAGGGCAAGGCACTGGAATGATCCACAGTGCTAACAACACTTTGCTGCAGATTGGTTCCTGCTCTTACCCCTCAGGAAAGCTCTGTGTGTGTGAAAACAATGGACTTGCTAAAGCCAGAGATGAGTTAATGCTTTACTGCCTAAAAAAAAGTGTTCAGTGGCAAGTGTGACCTCAGAAGTAGCGGTGTGGCCTGACAGGCAAGCGTGTTTAACCTGCCCCTTCGTGGAGTTGAATGCATTTTGTCCATGAAAGCATATGCTGTGTAGGGCTCAGTGCACCTCCTTTTTGGTGCAATTTGAGAGGGAGATGAAGGACTGCTGGAGCACTTCAGGGTATTGTTTCTTGGCTGGAACACACATACTCCAAGACAAACAAATTTGCTCAATATTTTTATGAGTCTCTGAGCTCATTTGGTTCTGGCAGGGATGACTTGACTTCATCCAGAGAGACAGTAGGGGGGAGATCATTCCAAGTTTCCCTTTATTTGGGTAGTGGAACATGAGTAACTTCTTCCTAGAGCTGGAGGGAGTTGCCTCAGGCTCCTCATCATGCACACTGTGTCATACTGTGTGTCTCTCACGTCCCTCCACAGCATCTAGAGCAGCTCCCTTGTATGGCCCAAGTGCAGTGCAAAATGTAATTGCCTCTGATGCAGCAATTTCAGCACAAGCACTTTGGACTCTGTGGAATAACAAATAATAATAAAGAAAATAGTCTTGCAATGAATGCTAATCACACCCTATAGTATTACATTGAGTTTGTCATTAGATAGCAGATGTTAAATGCAGAAATACTAACTTTCACAGAACCTTAGAGAGTTTAGAGTTCTTTGTAAATATCTAATCTCCACTTTAAAAATACGGTTGATTTCCCAGTACAAATTCTTCATTATTTGTAGTTAAGGCTGAAAGGCCTCATCATTTATCTGAGTCAGAAATGCCCTTAAGATTTACTAAGGTGAGCAGATTCTGGAAACTGAGGCAAAGGTTCTGTTCTGCAGGTGAACCCACAAAGCCTCAAAGCCTGCAGAGGTGCATGCGTGTGTGGCCTTTTTAGACAATTCTAGTTTGGCAAGATTCACTATTCCTCTTTTTTTTCTGACCTTTTGATCTTGATTGTTGCACTGTCTCCTGTTCTCCTGAAGCCAGAACTATTTCTGCCCACTTTTGCCTCACTATGTCTCTCTTCTTTTGCAGACTTAGACTGCCTTTGCAAGGCATTCACTGCCTGATATAAGTTTATAGTGCCAGTTAATGTTGTTCCAAGCTTCTGAACGTAATATTTATGTTGAGTGTGTGTCTCTGTTACATGCAAAATCAAGCTGGAGGCTGATTGCTATTTCATTCTTCTTCTTGACCTAGCAGTGATTCTCTTGACGATACAAACCAAAAAAAAAAGAATGGAATTTCTATGCCAATCTGTCAGTCATAAGCAGGCAATGTATTAGTCAAATTTTCAGAAGTGAACAGCAATATATTTCTGAAACCTGGTATCTCCAAAACGAGTGTGGACATTTGCTTTGGGGAACTCTGCATTTTTGTTGTCAGCTGGGAGCTGTTATGTCATGTTTATAATGTTGGCTTGATCAACATATGGCAAAAGAGGGTAAGAACAAAACTAGGTATAAAATGGGAAGCTTTTCAACAAAGAAAGTATCTTTTCATAGATAAGATTTGCAAAAATATGAATCACTGAAACTGTTCAGAATAAATAAGGAAAAAACGATTAAAAAACCTTTATTTTCAGAATTTCAGAAATGTTTATTTCTAATGACTTCAAAATAAAAAGTCCTTATGTCTGCTACTCAGTGGGAAAGTCCAAAGCTTACTTCACACGTAGGTGTAGCACTATTTTCACTGAGAGTTCAGGATGATGAGAGACCTGGCATGTCATCTGAATGTGGTGATGAAATATATCTGGCAATGAGAATTTCAGCCTGTTAAAGAGCGATGTTTTCGTAACATTACAAGCCTAATTGGCTTGAACATCATTATTGAAAATAAGGAGGTAATAGCAGTGTTATATTTTCCCTGAATCTGAGGCTTAGAAGGAAACAGAGATGCAGGTTCAGGCATCTTTGGCTCTCCCTTGCAGGGCTAGAGGCTCTTTGCCTGCTCCAGTCTCACCCAGAGCATGTGGGCAGGAAGCAGGTGGAAGGAACTGGGGTCAGCCAATAGGCCCAAACTGGGATCATTGTTGAAACAACAGTTTGCTACTAAAGACAAATTACTTCCTTCTGCAAGGAAAAGAAGGAAGTACAGTGGGTCTACTGTGGTTCCTCTCTTGGGTTCCCCCAGGAGCAGGATGGCTTCATCTCTCTGCTCGGGCCATGAGCTCTGAAACAGGTTCCTGAGTCTGGCTGGCCTTTACCTTCATGTATTTATTAATGCTATTCTGTTTTGCATGAAATTTTTATGTTGTTGAATGGTTTCACAACCTTACAAGAAGAGACTATCCAATAACACCGATCAAGTACCCTCTTTAAAACAAGTGAAAGTTTTTGAGTGAGCTGAAATAACTGTAAAGTGTTTCCCTAAAGGAGATTTGGCAACAGCTCTACAGCACCAAACTTCAGACAAACAATAGAAGAGCAGTGACATTTTAAACTTGGTCTCAGTCCAAAGCATCCCTGTTTTATAAACTGGTCCTCAGACATATTCTCTTATTAGTAATAACACCAAAGCCCTGCACTATGTTTGCACAGGGCATGAATTTGCAGAGAATTTGGTCTTAACTTTTGCACTTAGAAATGGAAAAGTCACATTTATAAGAGCATTCTCTGTTCTTTCCCCTTCTTGTGTGGGTGTAGGTAGGGGAGTGGGGATAAATACTCAGTCCCTCTTTAAGCTCTACTCTAACCAAGCTATGATTCTTATCAATATGATTTTTGTGATAAAAAGTAGTGATTCCTCCACTTGAAATGCTACCTGTAGACCTAGCCTAAGCACTGAAAATCAAGAGCCAACCACTTAAGCATTCTGGAGTATATTCATTAAATTTTTTTTTTTTTTTAATGGAACTCTACTTATTGAGCATGTAAATTGAATTTTTGATTGCCACAACAACTAGGACCATACCTTTCATTCAGTTGCTCTCCTGCAAGTAGAATAGCAATAAAGAAATTTATATTTGTATGGTCAGACCCAAGAAACTGGAGGAGGAGGAAAAATTTGAAATTTTAGTTCTAAGGCAGGATTTGATTGCTAACCATTGGATTTAGCTTTTCTGTACACCCTTCTCTCACAAAACATGCTACTCTGTAGGGCACTAGAGTGGCTGTGATATTCCGATCCCCAGGTAATTCAGGCCATTGTGTGAGTTGACATATGTGTACAAATAAGGGAAAGGAAAAAGCCGGCGGTGTGTGCGAGCGGGTGGGGAGGCTGGGAAGGGGTGAAGATCAGATGCACTGTTAGCGCTGTCGGTGAAAGAAAGGCAATTGTCAGGGCTGTGATTCCTGGCTGCGGCTGCTGCCCGGGAAATATGTGTCAACACCACACAAGCTGCTGCGCGGAGGAGGAGGACGCGCCTCTCTTTGTCCCTGCTCCGCTTGATGCTGCCGTCTGCGAGATGCCTTTGTCACAAACAGGAGTGCTCACAAGACGTTGCTGTTTGCATTGCCATCTCCCCCCTCCAACCCAAACAACAACAACAACAGCAAAATCCCGTCTCTGGTATGTAGCAGTGAGATTATTGTTCTTTTCCCCGCCGCTATAAGATTCCAGGATGATCCAAGAGTGTATTTACTGGATTTGAGGGGTGTTGTTCGGGGGGGAATTCCACCGCTGCCTCAAAACCAGCAGTTTACAATATCCTGAGCTGACCCTACTGGACGTATTACATCAGGTCAGAAACATTTTTGTTGCAGGAGCACAGCAGCCTATTCCTTTCACGGGAATGGTTTAATCTACTGCTTGCTGTTAGCTTAATAACCTTTTCCTACTTGAACTGTCCTTTCTGGCAGGTTATTTTTTTCATGGAATCCCCTGGAGTTTGGCCATGAGCTGAGAGTGCAAGAGACCACTAAACAAGAAGAAAACCTCCAGAGAGCTTAGCTGAGCAACCTTATTTAAGTAATAAAAAACACTGCGTTTGACGAGCCAATAACGTAAAGCAAACATTTAAAGCACAGAACGCCAAACACTTGTCCGTAAACCTAAGCCTTTATGAGCAGCAGTTACAGTTATAAAAGAATATGATCCCTTTCTGAGCCTCCCAGCCTACCTGCATCCCTGTGTTAATTCAGGGCGCTGCTGGCTGGGCTTTGTGAGTGTCGCAGGACTAATCCCCGCGGTTCCTTGATTATGAGCATGTGCAGAGCAGCCCAAGGTACAGCCGTGCATGCAGAGCCAACACGCAGAGACGTGCCTTGCAATGCCATGTTGCTGCATGTGTTCCCACAACTGAGAAAGATACAGGGAGCCTGCCTGCCTTGCTGATTTATCTGATGTGTTCTTGTTTCTGTTTCAGCATTCAGGAGAATTCCTTCAGCACGACAGCTTTAGCAGAGTAAGTGAACACTTTAAAGATGTCCTTGTTTTTACACCAGAACGATGAGTTTAGTTGCTGTAAAGAATAATTGTAAGTAGTATGTGAGAAGCCCCAAGCTATGTCATATATTTCGATTCAGTTTTCTGTAACCTAAGTATATTAGTGACTATGGGAAGGATTGCATGAAACAGCTGCTTTTAAATGCTCCGTGACCATTTAGCAGTGAATTTTCTTTTTTGGGGTGAATATATGCTTGGTGTACATCACACATGTTTAAATGCATGTAGGATAAATCTCCTGTCAAAATATTGCTCATTTCTGGCACTGAGGATCCTGACAAACACAAGTACGTCAGTTTTCTAAGGACACATGGTCTGTACTTACCACAAGCATCATTAGAGAAAAGAATTATTTGCAAATGTTTTGAAAAAACCCCTATACATTACTTAGACAGGCCAAGTACCAAATATGTAATTTCTTCATAATCAATTCCATAAACTCATTAGAAGGCCTTTTGCGCATATCGTAATCATAAGTTGATTTTTCTTGTTGTTTTACAGAGACAGCAGGACAGAACAAGGGAGAACATTAGAAAGTTAGAAAGGCAAAGGCTTTAGGAACTATTACAAATGAAATAGTCTATGCCTTGTTTTAGTCTAAACCACTTCAATATTGGTGTTCTCTACTATATTATTTTGCATGCTTTTTATTATTTCAAAAGCTTTTGGGGAAGATTCCTCAGCAGTTAAGGTGCCAAGCAGTTTTTCAGGAGGGAAATGATTTATAGATTTGTTTGTGCATTAGGTGAGTATTACACTGTTAAAATGCTCATAATTTAAAACACCCTTGTTGGACAGTGAGCTGTTTGCCTAAGTGGTGGGGACAGGATATGTTCTGAAAGCAGGCCAAGTTGTAATCGTCTGAGACATCCCTAGGTGTTATTTTAATAACTACAGAGAAAGTAAGATCTCATAGTGATCCAAAGAATTTCCATCTCTTATATGGCTTTGCCTTATTTGCTTACATTGCCTTGCTTCATTTAATATTTTAACTTAGTCATGAATTTTGTGTGATTGTGGCAGATAAGGAAAGATTGCACGGAAGCTAATAAATCATTGATTTTTTGTTTGTTTGTTTGTTTGTTTTTTTGCCTTCCCATATTCCTATTAGTTAAGAGATGAATTGTGGTCTCTAAAATTGTGGGATGCTCCCCCGTCACAGAAAAATAGGCAGATTACAGATAGTAGATTTTTCTTTTTTTTTTTTCTCCTTCCCTTTTCTCTGTCCCCAAGTACATCCATTGTTTCCTGTAGAGATTCCCCTGGAGCAGCCCCCAGGCCTGTCTCGCCCATGAGGTTTCTGGGACCCAGAAGTGATGGTCTTTCTCTGTGGGGCTTAATATTGAGCCAAGAGCCCAGAAGGTATAAAAGCTGAGTGTGTGGTGCCAGCCCTGCCCCTGGGGAGAGGAAGAGGAGTGCAGACTGGGAGGCAGCAGAATGGCAGAGCCAGGCTGGGCCAGGCATTGCCTGAAGGCTGAGTCTCCCTCATTTAAGCTGTTGTTGGTTCTGTTTTGGGGGCTTTCATTTTAAATCTTATATTTCCAAATAGGAATAGAAACGTGCTTTTAGAAAACAAAGCGAGTGAACAGTGATATCTGAAAAGCATTGTCCAAATGAACAAACTTGGTTTCCAGAGCTAATTTTCCTAAGTCCTGTTTGGAGCCTGCCCCCAGAGCCCGTGTTTGAGAACTGCTGAGGATACACAATTCTTACTGATTTCAGCACTCATTGTTTGTGCTGGCCATGTCTGAAAATAGGTTACTTTTATTTAGAAGAAGAAAGAGAGAGCTTGCTGTGCATCATTTAACAATTGCTAAATGTTAATGCATTGCTAAAGGCAAGATCAGGGCTTCCCAAATGATACACAATCAGTGATACAGTACTTTCAGGAACGTTTCTCCAGACAAGGCAAGTGCCTGGGGGTGCAAAGCTTCCATCAGGCCATGGATGCAGCCTGGTTTGGAAGTTGTTCACGTGAGCATCTCAAAGGTCAAGTCAGCAAAAGGGAGCAGTTTTCCCATGGCTCCTATGGAAAGGTGAAAATGGAAGTTAAAGAAGTTAATCTCATTAAACCAATCTCATTATACTGGTTTAATCTTGTTAAACCAGTTGGAAGAAACATACAGGGGCAATACTATACAGAATCAGAGCAGCAGTCCAGCTAGACTGGGATCCCACCTCTGACCTGATTCTGGCCCATGCCACAAGATCTTACTGGTCTGGTACTGGATGTACTTAATTTTGAGAGATGTGTCCATCAGTCAGTAGTTAGATTGGTACTGAAGGAAAAGGATTCACACCACTGGTTTTGTCAAAAGGCCTGGTTTCTGCCCAATGTAAGCTTCAGCCCATATGGATTTATGGCTTGAAGCCGTCCTGGCATATTCTCTGATGTTTTAGGAATGAGTGAGATGTTGCTGCAGTTTTTGATTGGTGGGAACTCTCTATACTACATGGTCACAAGCTATCACCAAACTTACCAAACTCTTGAATATCACTGTTAAATACAGCCAACGTTGGACAACAAGATTTACAAGTTACTGGTGAGAGGGGAGGAATGTGTGCATGTCTGTTTTGATATGTGCAGACAGGTGCCATGGACACATAAGATTCATTTCTTTCCAAAGCCAAGGTAAAAACACTCTCTGCTTTAATCATGAATATTTGCAGTATATCAGAATTCATCTTTTTAAAGGTCCTGCTATGGTCCTAGCCTCCAACACAACCTTGTGTGAGTGAGATTCCTGGTTAATATTTGTTTTTACACAGACATAAATTTCTGTTAACAATTTCAGAGTGTGTTGCTTCTGAACTTCCTCACAGTCTTTTAAAATTACATGGTGGGCATGTTGTTCTCTGATCCGTTATTGCTTATCTTTCCTATCTACTGCTATCCAGTTGCTCAAATACATTTTGTCATGCTCACTTAGGTTGTTTATAAGTTGTCTTGTTTTATGACTCCTGTCAGTCGCTGGATGCTGAGTTAGCATCTCTGCTCCTCAAGATCACCTTATACACAGTCAGCTCAGGAAGGTAACCCCCGGGGCACTTCCTTCAGTGAAGAAGTGTGCACACACAGGCTTGGTGGGTGGACCTGTGTTCAGTCATCCATTGTCCCTCCAGAGAGTGTTCCTGATGGCCAAGATGGTATTTCAGGACCGAAGGTTGCCAAGTGCGGTGACTGTGAGAGGAGGAGGTGAGTGGAACTGCTGGCAGAGATGCTTCCTCCCAGCCCCTCTTTCCAAGGCACACACAGGAGGAAGAGTTTGTCCCTTTAGGAGGTCCCTGGCCTTTGCTGACTGTTGCTTGGCCCATGATGCACAGCATGTCTGGTGACATCTTACCCTACTGCTGTGTCTGTGCTGGGAGCCCTGTCCATCGAACTCTGACCTTGGCACTGTCTCCTCACAGTGTATTTCCTTTCTATTTTTTACTCCCTGTGAAACATTCCATCATGTTGTCCATCCAGGTTCCTGGTTCCTTTCACACTGGGTTTCCTTCTTCATACCCCCAGTATGTCCACACTCACACCTTGCTGGTGCCAGACACCCATCAGGTGGTCAGTGACAGACCAGAGGGGAAGATGTGACTGGCATCCAGAGGCAAAGGAAACCAGATTTCTTCAGTGAATTTATCCATTTTGTACATCTGCCCCTATCTTCCGTCCATCATCCCACTTTGCCTTATGGGGAGAACTGCACTGGCTGCAGGAATGGTGTGTGATTAAGGGGGATCTGCAACTGTAGCTCTGTGTTCCAGTTGCCAGCAGCAAACGCTTTCATCCATATGCTGATGTATTCAGGAAGTGTAAACACTTGAGTGTCCCTTTAAATATTTTCTGCTGCAGTCTGACTTTTGATATAGACACCAGCACGAGACTGGTGGGAAAGAGGAATGTATTAAAAACCTTGCCATCAAATTGCAACGCAGAGCTATGGATGTATCACCTAATGTGCTCTGTTCTGAGCGGGGCAGCTTTGCTCAAAATTTAAGAAGTCAGCGAAAGTACAGGCTGCTTCCCCCATAATGAAGAGACTCCTCTGCCAGCAAACTCCAAGAGATCCAGGCCTGCTTAGTGTCTGTGCCCTGTGAGTACGAACTGAGGGTGAGGAGAGACCCCTGACTTTTCCCCAGAAAGAGTACCAGGCAGGGTATGCATATTTTAGGGGTGTATGCATATATATGCATGTTTATTTGAGGGCAGACTGCTCCTAGGCTTTGCAGGTGTATCACCCTGTGAAGTTCAGCCATGCAGCCACAGTGCAATGTTCAGCTCTGAGTGGCTGTTGTTTAGCATATTTATCCAGATTTCGCTTCTGATTAGGCAGCCTTAGGACGATTCTGTTGTTTGTAACTTAAGGAGATGTAAATGACTACGATTCTTCAGGCATCTTAAAAAATTCTGCTAGTTCACTTCTTTAAGATTTAATGATCACTTTATAACTTAGTTGGGGATTCTTTTTCTTGCCGCACGAAGAATGACTGCTCTATCATAGTTTATATTTTTGTGAGTTTAGGAGAAAAACACCTTTAGATAATTGTATCTAGTAATTTTTGGTTTTAAAGTGAAGTATACTATATGCAATTAAAATACAGAATTTCTTGTAATTTTCCTGTATTTTTATGGTAACATCTGAATCCCTTGTGATTATTTTCATCTGTCTGAAAATGGTAAACCGAACTGTGCACACTTAACATCTCAAATCCTCCTCTTCCTCTGAGGTTTAGACTATCATGGAGCAGCTATGGCATTAAGTGACTCTAACTAAGGTGTGAGAAGAAGAAATGTGTTTATACTTTGAGCTGCACTGTCATGTTATTTAAAAGCTGGCAGAAAGTCAGCAATTATCTTGTATTCATTTTCAAGGTGTGACGGGGATTCAGACTCTGTCCATGAAGATCAAGCAGGCAGTTCCAGTCCCAGGTATCCTGCTCTGTCTGAAATCCGTTGGCAGCAAAAGGAGTTGTCAGAGTGCTTCTGTTAAAGCATTAGAAAGAAACCTTTATTCTCAAGGGAATGAAGAATTTCTGGGGTATTACCTGCAAAGGCCATTAGTATTTCTGGGAAATGCATAATTGTCTTGTATGCTTTTGTGTAATCAATATTAAGATTAATTACTGATGTTATTATGTAAGTAAATATATTATGGTCTGTATTCTTAACTTCACATTGTGTTACTGTCATTCAGATGCAGCTTTGGTTGCTAATAATAATTTTACTGTACAGCAGCTGGTTCAAAGTAGTGGTATGTGGAGTTTTGCAACTGTGCAAGGATATGCTTATTGATGAGTGTCTCTGTGAAAAAAAAATCCTTCAAATTATAATTTACCTGAAGTATTCTTGAGGCACATCTCTCTCATGGCTATGTTAGTATATGTTGATTGCTAGAGTGTGCAACTTAACCTTTCAGAAAGATTTTAAAGTCAGATCATACCTTAAAATTAGCAGCACTTGTGCACATTGTGGAGATGCCTGTGGGCTATAAAGCACCCTACGCTGTAACTATAACAACTGCCTTGGAGCACACTTGCAGAAGGCATGGGCAGCAATGGTGTTCAGCTCCACAGGCACCCTGTGAGCATCCATCTGGATGGTGATGGGCCACAGATGGAAAGCGAGTTTGGCAGCTTAGAATCCTTGGGAGAAAACATTGAACTAGAAAGTTACGCTTTCTAAAAAAAAAACAAACCAAAAAAAAACTCAGGGGGATTTAATTCAATAGTCCTTGACTCCCTCAGCTGGGAAAGTTTCATACCAGGAGAAAGGTCATCTCTCCATTAGGATTTTACCAGCTGAAGCTAACATCTGAAATTCCACCTGCAAACTAAGCTACAGCCAGGGATTTTGGAGCAGTAATGCCGACCTGCTCATCCTGCCAGCTGATCAGGCAGCCCAGCATCCTGCATTGCGGAAACTTTCCTAATGGTGCCAGGGAGACACCACCAGGGGAAGGCATTAGGCCAGTCTAAAGCTGGAATGACTGGGCGTGGATAGGACTAGCAAGGTCTTCTTGGGACAGCTTGCACATTGCAGGCTGGGTGGAGATTGAAAATGCCTGTCCCAGATTCAGTGGTTACCTGAGCATCCATGAATAACAGCGTCTGTTTAAACCCCCAGGTGTGCTGTTATACAGGAGGACGTTTTCTCCAAACTGGGCACTTGTCCCTTCCACCCAAACACACCTCTGGCTGTTCAGACCCTACCTGAATGGCTACCTCCCTCACTTTGTTCAAAAGCCCTCAAAACCAGAGCCTGTCAGAAGGGAAGTGAGACTGTAGAGAGGAACTGTTCTGTATAATGACATTCTTGTGAGATTACAACTTACTTTGAATCATTGGGTGGTGAAAGGCCTTCTGCATAAAAAGGACAGCTTCAGATTTTATTTGGGGGATGTGAACTACAGGGCTGAAGCCAAAGAGTGCCTCTAAAACTAGTCTTATTTAAGTAGCTCCGCAGTTGAATGTGTAATAATGCTAACAGTAGTTTAGACTCACGTTTCTGACATATGCAGTGTTTGATGTGTAGACCACTCAACTTAGTAAAAGCAATATGCCATGAATAGCTAAGCACTTGTTGCTCTTTTTCCTCCCTAATGTTTTGACAGGTGTCTGAAATCCTGCCTGATGCATTTCAATTTTACTTTCTTACAGAGATGATGATAACAAAGAAAATTATCCGGACAACGGTGCTGTCTTAGAGGAAAGGCAGCTGCCTTTGCCAGACGCTCAGCAGCACAGGCAGCAGGCTGTGATTGACTGTGCTCTAAAGCCTGAAATGGGCAACTTAAAGCTGAGAAAACCCAAGCCCATTGCAAAGCTAGAAAATGGAAAAAGCCATGAGGAAAGTCAGGTAAAGAACTAAACTTACCAGGGGTCGTTTTGTGGTACGGTGTCTGAGCAAACATAACTTTTGAAATGCAAAGTGGGACCCCCAGGTAATTCATGATGTGATCAAGACCTCAGGATAATCTACCATGATTTTCAGGGACCTGCAGTCCTGGAACCATCCTATAATAACAGACAATTTCTTTCAGCCAGGGAATTGCAGAGAGGGCTATGTTGCAACCGCTGTCATGAGTGGGTGCACAGCATAGCTGAAGATATCTCTCTTTATATTTTCTGCGTTTCCTTGCACCAAATATAAAAAACTTGGTAGTTGCAGCACTTGATTAGACATTTTCTGTTTTGTTTGATTGAGGATCTCTTGTGCTGGTATTTTGGCTGCCAATAGAGAGTTTTAATACTTTCCCTTTATATTAATTTCTGTTTTTCTCATCTTTAAATAACAAGTCTATTCCAATGCAGATTCTGGTAGCAGAGCTCTTGCTCACAAGCTTCCCAGGTTGAAACTATAACTTTTCTGAAGGGTATAAAAGAAGACTAGAAATGAAGAAGCTTCTGCTGCTGTCTGTGGAGGTACATTTGCTATGTCAGCTCTAGAGTTACCACCTCTCAGCAGCTGCTGATAATGCCTCTGTTCTTCCCTGGTGCTTCCCAAGTCATGTCTGATGTGCGGTGTAAGGGGTAGAGGTCTTGTGCAGATTTAACTCCTCAGCTAGAAATATTCTCATATCCAAGAGAGTTAATATTAATGCTGGGAGATTTGCTGGCCTGCAGTAGGCACAAAGCCTGATATCTGTAAATACAGATGTCTGTATTTACATATCTTCTTTGATGTATAATGTATTTGGCTACATTTTGTCTCTCCTCCCTTCTTGTCTGTGGATAGAAATTTGCAGAGCGCTTTCTGCAGGGCTTCAAACCCGTCATAAAGTAGGAATTATTTTGGACCATTTTTTTCAAGTTTATAATGGGATTTCATCATTTTGGACAGAATGTCTTACCTTCTAAGTGAGAACTATTCTTTTGAATTCCAGAAGGAAAATGAAAAGCAAATGGCATCCCAGTGGTATTATCACAGTCTCCTACAGAAGGAATATCAAACTCTTTCCCCTTATCTTCCTGCATGTTCTTCTGGAGCTCATCCCAGAGATAAGCAATAACTGGCTTTTTTGCAACTGTATTGCATTACTAGGAAATATTATTTAGACTTCAGGAAGATGAGGTGTACATGTTTATCAACTGAAAAGAAAAATGGTGGGAATACTGACCTATGAAGAGCAAGTAGAGGCATATCAGGAATAGGAATCATGAAGAAGTCGTAAACAGGGCAAGATCTGTCTCATAGATCATCTGTTATTCTTTCAGCTACTTCCAAGCCCCCTGTCTGCCTGCTCCCTGTGTGTGTCCTGTCTGTATCTCTCACCCAGTGAAAGCCAACACAGCACAGATTTACTGCTCTGTAGTGTTGTACGTGGTCTGAAGTGGTTATCTGAAAATGTTGATATTCTTTCCTGGGAAACTTCTTGAGCATATAATTAGACTGCCATAAAATGCCAGTGCAGCTTAGGTGTGCAGCCTCTGGAAGGAAAAACAGTGTCAGGCAGATAATTTTCACATGATTCAAGGGCTTGAATTAGGAAAGACAAAAGTGGTCCTGGGCCCCATGCTACCGCTTGCTCCCATCCCTGGCGTAATGGAAGATGTAAGATGAGTAGGAACCATTTTAGTTCTGATTTATGGGAGTACTTGAGGATGAGAGTAGTGCAGAGCTTTGAGTGTAATATGCAGCATAAACACAAAGCAAACATCCCTCCGTAACAGTAACTCCACTCATTCATAGTGGGAATGGTATCCTAGTACCATGGGACACTTTTTGATGGATATCCTATATCCAAACTGAGTTCAGTGGCGCGTGCTGTTATGGAAAGACTTTGCTCCTGGGAATGGTTTGCAGAAGGAAGCTGTTTTGGAGAAAACATCTACCAAGCCTTTATTCTCATTAATAAGGATGCACGTGCTCCTTGACCCTGAGTGCTCACTTGCTGCATCTTCAGCTACCTCAGGGGCTTTTGTTCTTAAGGAAGCAAGCACCTGCCTTGGCTTCATCAACAGTGCTCAAGAAAAACAAGATTATTCTTGCAGAAGAGCCCCAAGAAGGGTTTGTTTTTGTGTGTGGGCTCTCATTGGGATCCTTGCTGTGTTGTGACCTCCCAAACCCTGTCTCAGCTCCCTGTGTTAACAGCCCTAGTTGGGAACTGGCAGCAATTGCTTCTCTCTGTTTTGAAGCTGAAAGCAAAGTGCTGCTGTGTTGTTTCTAGTGGCTGTTGTTCATGTGTGTATGGCAGGTTTTTATTATGGGAAGTGGGCCAGGTGATACTTTCAAACACTGTGCAACTGCATATACCTTCCTTTGGTGACACAGCTTGCCACCAAGCCACTCCATGGGATAAATGATGTACTTACAAGGAGCTGATGTCAAACTGAGAAACAGCATTTGCTGAGTACCTGCATTTATGAAAGAAAAGCATGATGCACTGCACATCATGATGAAACAGTTCATCCTCATTTTCCCGAGTTTATTGATAGAGTGCTTTTTCAACAGTGTCCTCACTTCCCCAACCTGACTTCTCTGTGACATCAGAAACACTGACAATGTTGCAGTGACACTGTCTCTTTTAAAGGTGTTGCTCTGATAAGCCAAGGAACTGTTTTCTATTTGCTCCTGTGTATTATAATCCCATGAGATGTTTCTTTAGAGAACTGTGCCTTTAAAATTAGAATAGGCTCTTGGGAGATAAGTAAGTTTGCTGCATGTGTTGGAAGGATTAAAGTCTGTTTGGATGGGAACCATTTTTATGTGCTTTTCTAGTAGAGAGAATCCAAGGGATTTCCACTGTAGAAAGGTCACTGAGAGGGAACAGACCACTGTGGTTGAGTAGAGGAAAGGTGGCCAACTTGGGGATTTTGAGCTTCACAAGGCTCTCAGTCTGCTGAAGTGCAATTCCTGTGCCTCTGATTTTTTTTTGGCACAAGTGCAGTACTGTGGTCATGTACCCTAGGTCTTCATGAAGATAAGGTTATTAAATTTACACTGATGATTAACAAAACCAAGTGCAATAAAAGAGCAGTATCAGGTGGCTTCACTTGACCACTTGTCAGATGATAAAATGTCACTAGAGTAAAACTGTGCTTTGCATATTGCGTGCAGTTATTTCTCTGGGGGCAGAGCTGGGTATGGAAGCAGCTGTAACCTTTCCAAACAAAGTATGGGGAGAGAGGCAGGCTGCTGGATTGTGATTACACTGATGCACTCCTATTGCACAGCTATTTGGTTTCTTCTTTCCTGTGGTTTCATGAGTTTCTTTAGCAATTCTCCAAAATTAAACTATAGAAAATCAAATTAATTAGGATTTATTTGACTTCAAGAGGTGAAGAAGCTTATGCCCAGAACATACTCCGGGGAGTCACTGTGAGAGCAGATGGTGAGAAATAAAAAGTCTGCTTTCCTTGCCCAGTCCTTTCTCCTGTCACTCACCTTTGATGCACAGTCATGAATATAGATTATTAAATGAGTCATCCTCAAATTCCTTATTGATACTGAGACATATTTATAAAAGGACACTAAAAATGCTAATAGGTAGAGACAGTAAAAGTTCAGTTTTAAAGTTTTGCTATCAAGGTAAATGACAATGAAAATGAAATGGTGGCTTGACAATCAATGCCTAGAGCTGGAAATGCTGAAGACTACAGAGTGAAAGTATTTTGAGTATAAATTAAGGGGCAAATTGCTTGGCTGTCAAAGAGCTTCCAATAGTTTGACAACAAAATTGTGTTTTTAAGTGCACAGGAATCCAAAAACCAGAGCTGATGTTGACACATCAGCTACACAAGCTCACAAATGTGTCAGGCAGTCTGCAAGTTCTGCTCAGTTTCCAGGTATACTCTGTTTATGTCTAGGCCATGGCTCCCATCACGGGTTAAATCTCTTCAATTCACTGTCCATTAAATGTACCTGCCTATTTTCTTGTATGGACTGGAATTTTCAGGAGGTGTAGGAGGCACTTCTGCCCAGGATTCATTTCTGGCTCTTTTCTATGTTGACACAGCACCACGAGGTAACCAAGGCTGTGCTTCCAAGTGCTGGTTCAATATTTGCATGGTGCTTCCATTTGCAGAGAAATGGGAGTGTTTGTGTTTTGAATAAAGGATGCAAGGCACTTTCTGGAGTTCAAGGACAGATTAAACTGCTCTGTAATTACAGCAAGTATGCATGTACTGTAATTCAGGTGCCCTGACAGAGATGGGTTATGACATGCTGTGATTTTTTAGGGGGAATTAAGATTTTAAAATAAAATTTAACTTGTGAAACAAAAGTTTGTTTATCCCAACATGTGTGTATCCATGATGTTAATTTTTGGCTGCTTCCAAACCACTTAGTGTTTTGTGTACAAAGCAGATATCATGGTGGTGATTATGCAGCACTGAGACTTCTCAGCAATGCCTGGAGATTTCCCTCTTCACAGACTGCTTAGCAGATGCAGCTTCATTGTAGAAGCTTCACCCTTTCTAGTGAAAAAGAAACAAAAATAAAATAGAAGACAGTACTCTACTGTTGGATGCCTTTGACGCATCAGGAATGGATTTCACTGCTCTTTAGAAATGGAGGTTCCATCAAGGGTGTTTTTCCCTAGGGTTACTCCTTAACACCCTAATGACACGACTTATGAGCAGTAACAAAGACATAAAAAAGAAAAACAGAAAAGAAATTAACAACCCCAAACCACCCAAGTCCTCAAACATCAAGCCTGCAAGCGTTTATTGCCAGCAAATACTCTTGTCCTCAGCTTTCCCTTTCGTCTAGCAGAAACCATCTCGAATTGCCATGTTCTCTCTGCCCTCTGAGTTGCCATACGAACATTCCCACTCAAACTTCTGATTTCCATGCATCCAACTAAGCTTTGAAATTGAGGCAAAATCAGACACATTGCTTTACCAGGGAAGTGAACACTGTTGTTTTGCAAAGCACATCATATTTTAATTTGATGAACTCTTAGACTAAAATACTGGATTATAAAAGCTAATAAAGAAGCAGGAAAAAAGTCCCACTTTGATTATCACATTTTCAAAGAACTTCATTAACTTACCCCATTGCAATGCAAGGGAAATATTGCAGACCATTTTATAGGCAGGAAAATTAACATGTGCTGAACACATCTCGTCACAGCCCTACAACTGTTTTTTGAAAGCTTGGAGTAAAATGGGTACCTTTCTCATTCCTCTTCCCTTACTCATTTTTTTGGACTGAATTGGCTTTTCTATTTTCTGTGTTGCAGGTTGGGTGATGGGACATTTTTTCCCCTCAATGCCTTTCCCTCCTTCCGCAGTAATACTCTATTTGTAAAGCTACACATATTCTAGGGAAGGAAAAGAGGAAGGTGGTTAAACCTTACAAATCTTATTTAAGTGAACTGCATTTGCCTTTGTCAGCCAGAATTTTTCTGCTGATAGCCAAGTAGTAAAATTACTGACATATGAGTAAATAAATTCAAATGAACTCTGTGTATAGTACCTCTTAGCTCAGAAGCTGACATCTGTTATCTAACTAACAAACAGAAAATGGGTTACAGTCTGCTTTGGTTTCAAAAACTGTTTTCCAGAGAAAGAACATACTATTTTGTTTAGAACATTTTCTAGTATGTGTTTTGTGTTTTCCACATGTTTCCAGATTACTACCCAAAAAAAAAGAACAAAGATCCACAATCAGCATCCAGTCTCATGGAGCAATTTCTGTCTCAAAGCGAAACGTTCGGCTAAGCCTGATTGGTACTGACAGGGCACATTCAATTTTTTTCTTTTTTTGGTGTGCTTTGTGCAGGAGCTGGAATGTGCATTGCCAGGCCTCCCAGAGTGGCAGGGGAAGCCTGGATCCTCAGCTAATGACTACACACAGAATGTGGCTTTGAGGTGCCAGGAAACAGTCGTGAGACTTCAACCAAGGTAAGCCCTTGGGATCAGACAGCACATTTCACTTCTGATTAACTGTAGGAAAGGCTAATTCATTTGCTGCCTTTTGTATAAAATATTCCGACTCCTGGCTCTCACTGGCAGTTATATTCTCTATTTATATGGCTAGGGCTGTTTGGAGAAAGCGAAAGGGATAAAGATAAGAATGCAAATTTCATCATTCTTTAAACCCCTTTACATTTCAAGCGGGAAGAACATCCTCAGTTCAGAAACTTCAGTTCCTCTGTGCCAAGTTTCAAAAATATCTTGCCATTTCTTTTCTTTTCCCCCCCAGTGCTGAATTGCCTCACTCTTTCTCAGAGCTGTATTCTAATTGTGAAATGGGAGTGGGAACCTGCACACCCAATTTTACCATGGGTATGCATTTATGTATAGTTTAGACTCTTGAGTGCTGTGGCAACTGTGCTTGTTCCAGTGCTGGGAAGGGCACAGTGTGTTCGGGTCAGGCATTAAAAAGTCTTGGTGGCAGGTAACTCAGCTGATGGTCAAGCAACCCAGCTCTGATAACTATTGAAAGTCACAGTTTCTACCCTGATCCTTCATGATTCTGCAAAAGGCTAAAAAAGGGGTTTCAACTCACCCAGTGACCGGTGAAGGTGTGTCCTAAGGATAAGATTTAGTTCTTACTAAATTTGAGGGCACTGCTTTACAATTTTTGCATGCTGAAGTGCTGGTTTGGCCCTGCTTTTCTGTGCACAGAGTTGTTGGCAGGTGAGCCAGGTCTCTGCTCTTTGTCTCGAGGTGCATGGCAGCCTTGGTGCTCTGTGGGGGGACTGAAGCAGCAGCAGTACATCCCAGGGACGCTCAGGGCACAGCTATTTGCCATCTAGAGCACCTTGGCTCCAAGGTTTGTTTCCAGTCAGGATTAGGTTAGTAGAGACAGTGGCCATCCGAAGGCATTTTGGGTGCTTTATATGAAACGAACTGGTTGGTTTCACCACAGCTTTTAGCAGGCAACATTGTAAATCATATTAATTTGTGCTCTCAAAGGAAGGTTTAGCAGAATGACCAAGCATATAATTATCTTGGACAAAGAACTGCTTTTGCCCTACAGTGATTGTCTGTGCAATTGAGACACTGCATCTCAGAAAGAATTTTTAATTAGGAAGCCTGCCTTCTCTTTTTCTGGTATTCTTTATGCTAGGAAAGAATTGCATGGTTTTCTTGTAAAGAGGAGCTTGGTGAGTTTAGTATCATATAGTTAGGCCTACCTAGTGGCTCTGCTGGTGGGATGCCTGTGTATGGGCAGATAATAAAGTAACTGGTAATTTCGAAAGGAATATGATGAAAGGAAGATAGGTAAGAACCACAGTGTGCATGAATAAAACAGTAACCACAGCAAAGTTCCCCTGTCCTCTTCAACAGTTTGGCATTTTGAGTTTGCTTGGTACTAAACCATTGTTCACTATGCTATTTATTCCTGCTTAACACCAGGGTAGCTCCTTAGAAAGCCTGCTATGCACAAGGGTTAAATCTGTTAAATAATGGTACTTGGATTTACCATCCTAAGAGCTGTGAAAGCATAGTGATCAAATCTCAGCTCTGTCCATGTTTTAGTTTGATTATATTACAAGAAAAAAAAAAAAGAAAAAAGTAGATGACTTTACTCTCAAATAAGAAACTTTAAACATGGAGTAAACAAGTATTAACACACGGTCCCTGGCATCACACACACACTTTATTTACTTTAACTGCCTTAACTGCCCTTGCAAAAGACACTCCTGCCACCCAGCCAGGGCAAGGGACTTTGAATCACAATGCTGGAGTTACCACTTTCAGTTTGAGGGTCACTGTGTCAGTGACTCCCCTCAAGGGCCACCACCAGCTTGCCCCATCCCTCTGCTGTCAGCCAGCTTTGGCAGGGCCCCATTTTGGCAGTTCAGTGTCCCTGTCTCTGCTCACACGGGCCTCTGGCACTGGGACCACAGCACTGACTCATGCAACAGCCTGGGACACTGCTGCCAGGGAATGATGGGACACTGCTGCCAGGGAATGATGTCCTGCCTTGTTTTCTGCCTTCTCTGCTGTGGACATGGCAAAGGTTAAGTATTCAGGTTTGGCAGCTGCCAGCAATCGTAGCTGGATTTGGACAGAACACGTCTGCTACCCCCACTAAATTTGAATTTCACTCTCTTCCACTGTTTTTGCTGGGTTAGTGGTAAAATTAACCATGCTTTGGAACGCTGTATCTGCCTAACTCATAGACTAAAAGCTCTCTGGTCTTTAGGAGGAGATTGGCACACTGCTGCAGAGGTGACCCTGGGCAGGCTCTCTCGGTGTATCAGATGTGTGTGTGTAGGATATGTAAAGGATTATTTCTGTCTCGTAGGAAGAAGCAAGATTGATTGTTTCTAGTGCAGCTTGTTGTTACTTCTGTTTTAACTTAGAGTCTGCAGATTGATATAGCTCTGTCATTAGCTTCATTGGAGTTTAAAGGTCTCTGCTGAGTTTTTTAAGAAATCTGTTCTGGTGAGTGTGGGGCAGCTAAAAACAGGATAGTTTTAATTTTTCTAAATATGGATTAAAAACTACTGAGATAGAAAAAACTTTTCAGTCCAGTCCCTGTTAAACAGAGAAATCTAAATTCAGGGTAATCTAACAAGGGATGCTCATAAACAGATATGTGACAGAGAAGAACAGAACAGGCAATGTGAGAGCAGCAATCCACCAAAATACAACCTACAAGCATATATATGTGTCTGGATCCCTTTCCCCACCCACAACGTGGGGGAGCCCAGTTCTAGTTCCATCTCCATCTGAAGAACCATTCCGACGTCTTGAGGGACGGGGAAAGGGAACTCCAGGGGTTTCCTCAGGGGTTTCTGGTCCTCAGCCTGGAGGGGAGAGGTGCCCTCCCCTCCCCCCAGCATCCACGTGGTCCCATGGCAGGCACAGAGACAGCACACCGTCGTGGAGAGGAGGCAAGAGAGGGTTTATTGTTGGGAAGGGGTTTATAAAGCTTTTAGGAGGGTCAAAGGGAAACCAATCACAAGTTCAGGGTCACACAGAAAAAAACATCAGGTAAAGGGTCAACAGCCAATAGGAAGGGGTTAAACAAAGGACCAGTGAGAAACACCTCAGGACACCTTCCCAGGACACTCTGTATGAGAGACAATAGCCTCACAGGGGGTGTCGGGAAGAACAAACACGTGTTTGCAAAGAGACCACAAAGAGCCATTTTAAGACATGTTTAAACAACAGTTTTCCCATCTAATGCAGGTTTAGTGCCACATATGTGGATTGTTTTTTTTAAGGGAGTACTTTCATTTTTGGATAACCACCAAAACAGTAGAGGAAAGGTTTTGTGGGATTTGAGGGAAATGGAAGAACAGACTTGGTGAAGAGGTTTGCAGTGAGAAGAATGGGGAATGCTGTCTTGGCTAAGCTGTACTTGGCCTGTGAATCAAGGATTTCAATTTCAAGAGGTGTTTATCGTGCATGATTCATGAACATCAGGATCAATTCAGTACATGGAATGCCATCTGCACAGAAGGAAACCTTTACATTTTATTCCCAGAACATGAATTTCTAATACTATTTCCAGTGATTACAGTGAATGCTGCTCTGGTCATTGTGTGTAGCTGGGTTTGGATAAGAGAGTAACACAATTTGCATTTTCGATAGATAAAAGTTATATGCAGGTCCTGGGAACAAATAAAAGAGAATTGCCTTTTTTTAGCAGAGAGTAGGAAAGCCAGTATGGAACAATATATATGATTACAAAAAGCTGCTCCTGCCAATTGCCTTCTCAAAGGCAATCAGCAAAACTGGTGTGGATTGCAAGCTGTGTGCACTTACCTGAACAGGGGGTGGTGTTTCCTTCAGCTGCCTGTTACACAGGGAGGAGGCTGAAACAAGGCACTCTTAGGCAGTGGGAAGGTCAGTGCTTCAGAGAAGGCTGCATTCCATCTCAGTGTGGGAACTACACCTTGGGGTTAAGTTTTCTGCCAAGAAAAATTCCTGAAAGTTCCCCATCTTTCCCATTCCCCAAACAAAATGGGAATGGAGTGGTTTCATTTAACAGGACTCAGCTGGTCCCTGGGTTGGTCCCTAATTTCTGCAGAGGCTGTAGGGTGGCAGTTGTTGTCAGACTTATGGCTATTCTCCAGGAAAACTGGAAATACCAGTAGCCCTGGACTGCCATGGTTCAGCAGCCTCCAGGGTTTCTCTGATCCCCCAGGGGAGGCCAAGCTCTAGCAAGGCTTTTGGTATTTAAGTTTTCCAGGCAAGTAACTTTTGAGAGAGCCCTTCAGGTGGGAACTCCTTTGATTTCCAGGCTTTCTGTTGAACAGCTACAACTCAAGGATGAGTGGGATGGAGCAGGGAAGCTGCAGAAGTGCTGATGTCCCTGTGCCATCTGGCAGACCTGCATGAGTTAGCTAGAGCTTGTGAGGCTGCATCCCCTCACCTGTACAGGCAGCCAAGTGAGCAGGGAAAAAGCTGGGAAATAAATGACCACTTCCTAAAAACAGTTTCTTCAGAAATCTTGATGTTAAAATACTGGTGTTTCTGGTTTCAGTAAGACTTCTTGTACCAAGGCATGGAAAATTCTCTGAGCAAGCTTTTGGGTTGCAGTACAACTAAAGAAAAAAAAAAGAGAAAGGGGGGAGGCAGAGAGGATAGAGTAGCAAGAAAAGAATAGCATGTTACTGTAGCCCAAGTAAGAACTGCTCCTGGTGAGTATGAGAGGCTCTCATAGTAAGAAAAACAAGTGCTGGCTGTGTTACATAAGGGCTGTGATTGATGAGACAGGCAGTGCTACACTGGCTCTCTGTCTGAGTGCTCATTCCATCATTCAGGGATTGCCCAGGGAGTAGCCTTGGGCCCTTGATGGTGTTTTTCCTCTCATTTTTCTCTCTTTATGTTCACCCCAAAGCCTGCTGCGGTTCTGCACTGCTTTCCAAGGAGTCAAAGGCATGCTTTTGAAGCATCCACCTGCAGCCCTGTATGAAGGTGTTTGGATTTCAGAATGCTTTTTGCCATTTGTGGAGGTCTCAGAAAGGACCTTTTTTGTTTTCCTGGCGCTGAGATGTGCTGGTTGTGGGTTCTGCCTTTCTGTGAACTCGTGTGACGTGACCTCTGGATAGGCTGAATCAGTCCCCTGAGAGGGTACTGAGATGCTGTTCCCCCTGTGGGCCACCCTAACGGTGGGAAGGGTGGAACTGATTCGTAGACTGGAGACAGGGAAGGAGTGTTGGGCCAGGATAGACTGACAGTGAAACTGGAAAAGGAGTTTCATCCCGCGGAATACTGTGTGGTTGGCTGGGAGGACTTACCCTGGCATCACCAGTGCCAAGACCCTGAGCACGTGTGGCACTGTGATGCACAAACACATAACTCAGCTGAGGATGGGGCTACTGTGATCCAGAGCTGGGCTGGAGTAGATTTCAATTTACAGAATACAATGCTCCTTTCTGGGTTCCATCTAGGAACTGTGATGTGAGTTTGCTTAGGTTACCTTCAAACATTTTGCCCAGCTTTTAAAATTGTGTGGTTTTATTTGCGTTTTATGCAAGTTTAGAAGTGATGTCATGCATAATTCAAAAAATTCACTCGTTCTGGTCTGTTTTTCAAATAGCACACTGCTCATGCAAATTGATCTTCCCCTTGAAGGCTGGTAGGAGCTCTGTTATGATAATTAGTATTTAGATTTTTTTTTTCTTGTTATGTCCACAGGCTTCAAATGTACATATTACTCATTGCATCTTTGCCATCTTTGTCATGGAGAAGAGGATAATTCTGCCAAAGCCAGAGTCTATAAGGGAGGGTGAGAGACCAGGCCTTTCATGTTTTTTAAAGGACCATATAACACATATTTGAGTAGGAGCCACAGAGAGAATTCCATTTTCATTATTTTACATGATGTAAATTATACAAAATAAGGGTGCCTGCAGTTATTCAAAATTTTAGCTAAGGCCTGAAATAATTTTAATGTACTCAGCACAGATGGAAAATTAGGGCTTGTTCCTGCTGCTTTTGAAGTTAATGGATATTTTGTGATTGACTTTTAATGAGAGTAAGATCCAACCCATAGTTATTAAATTGTAAGCCCTGTGTTGCCGGGTGACAATCAGAAAACTTGCATTTGCCTAGCAGAGCAATTAATCTTGGTGAAAAGGAAAAAGCATACCCCAAAAGTGTCTGGATAGAGTAAGATCAGCTCAGCAGATGTTGTTCATGTAAATGCTCTTCACACAAAAATGGTCACTCACCTTAATGATTTCAGTGCCTCCAGAATCCAAAGAATACAAACCCAAGAGCATCATACTCCAGTATTTTTAGTGAAAAAGAAACAGTAAAATGCATGACTAAATGCACCCCCAAACCAGCAGACAAGAGCACCAACCTGAACGAGATGCAGGTGGTACTTCATGGCTGCTGTAATTCATTTTAATCTCCAGAGTGCAAGACTCATGGGTGATACAGCTGTGAATTATGTAGAACTTCATATAGTGCTGGTATGAACTGCTGCTGGCATTTAGGGTTTGGTTTGGTTTCTTTAGAAAATTTACTTTGTTTTTCTTTTTTAAGGAGATTTCACATTTGCTATGTTATGCACCTTGAAAGGAGCCATCCAAATGAATACCAGAAGTGTTCAAATCTGGCATGTGTCCTTTTCATCCTTTCCTTAACGTCTAGCTCTAGTTCAATTCAATAAATCACTCTAAATAATTTTTCTTCATTAGTGAATCAGTTCTCCAGCTGTTTGTAACCTTGCAGTACCTTCCTGACATGTTATTAAAGCAAACTACAAATACTTCACTCTTTCCTAATAAATTAGTCCTTTTGCTGTTCCCATGTTTTTCTCAGTTTTCTTTAACTCCCTTCAGCTGTCTCCTACTGTCCTCTCCACTGGCTAAAAGCAGGGTTTGGTTGTTAGGCATTAATCTTTTTGCATCTGTAATTTCGTTTTCCTTCTGTTCCCTTCACATTATGGAGACATTTGCTATTTCCTTTCAGGCAAGATGGCACAAAGAATATATATGTGAAGAGCTAAATTAGGGGTGTAGTTAGGTGCTTGTTCAGCAGTCAGCCAAGGCACCCTGCTGCTCAAGTGCTGTCAGAAATCACTCACATCTGATCCCGTACCTGTGTGCCTGAGGGAGGTGCAGGCTGGCTGGGCTGTGAGACCTCCCATTCCAGTGCTGCATGAGCCCTTCCCAAAATGGCTCATTTTTGTTCCTACGTGAACTGCACACCTTGGATCCTATTTGAAAGCAAGTGATTGTTCACCTTGGTGTAGCTACCTAGTGTGTCTGTTTTGATAAGGAAAGTGGCATATCCAGCATTTCAGTCTTTAAATGTCACATAAATCCATGAAGAACTACAACAAACATCTATGAATCTGTCTGTACCGGTTTTGGGGTCTCTAGAGACTTTTAAAACTATCTGTTTTTGCTGGGATGACTCTGAGCATGGAAAAATATGAACTATTTTGTCCAAAGGAATCTGGGTTTGCGTTGGGTTTGATCATGTCTGTGCGTGAGTCTCACAGGGGCCAGCAAACCTTGCCACCTTTTCAGCAGCGAGAAATCTCATTCTCTGAGACAGCTACAGTTTTCTTGCTTCAGCTGAGTTGTTAACTTGGGATACACCCATGTCAGGCTTTGAAGGCAGGTGTGGAAACCCTCAGCTTGCTTTAGGCAAGGACCGAGCTGTGGGATGAGGCTTCCCAGGTTGCTCACTTATTCTCTCTGAGAAGTATTTTTTAGACTTCAGTTTCATTCCTTGGTGGAAGGAATTGGTAACTAATCCTGAAGCTGGTAGGTGTGTGGAGCCTTAGGCCAGGCCCACATCTGACTGGCTGGGGCACAGCTGTCTTATTAGCCTCAGTCAGATGGAAGAGATTTCCCCCTTGCCAGTCCAGCGCCTTCCTTTCCTATTTCCATGTGGTGAAGCAGCAATATACTGAAAGAAAACCAAAGGTATGAACATCTCTGGTGGCTGCAAAGTGACACTCATTAGAAAATGTGGACGTCTCTCTCACAGGATTTCCAGGCACTGGGGTCTTTGTGAAATTTTAAAAAGGGAGCTTAAGCAGAAAATTGAAGATTGGGAGCCTGAAATGCCATCAAATTTAAGTATGGGAAGATTTATTCTTTATGTCTCTGATACAGGAAAGCTCTTGTTCCTGATTTAAAGCATGTGGGACAAATTGTGCTTGGATTTAAGCATATGTCTGAGATTTTTCTTGGCTTTAACCCTATTAGCTCACCGAGACACTGAACTGATCATGCCTCTGTAGAACTTCTGCATGACAAAATAAACCCACATTGTAATGTTGTAGTTTTGCAGGACTTCATTCACGATTTAAATATATTAGTTAGGATTCCAGTAAAATCACAGTTGTTTTGAATGAGGTACAAAATACAGATGTAACTTTCACAGAAATGTTTTGTTTGTTTATTTATTTTTTAATAAAATAACTTAATTTGTAACTTATGTAGAGACATGATAAAAAGTCTGAAATATTTGCAGCACAGATAAGCAATCTATTGAGTGAAAGTTCTTATTTTGTTTTGTAGAATAGATCAGAACACAAGCATTTCACCAAAGGAAGCAACCGATCAATGTAACAGCTTAAATGAGGTAAGCTTAACCAAAAGTTGAAATATGATGTTATAAATTTTAAATAGATGTTTGGGTTTTGTTAATGTCAAGGTCTTGGAATAATGTAATTGCTTGAGAATCATGGATTGGCTTTTTAGTGAATCTTTCTAGTCATGTTATTGGAGAATAGTTTAAAAAGATGATATGAGACTGCCATAATAGTTTAAAAGCCAGAAGCCAGAGATTTTAAAAATATTTTAAATCAACTTCTTGCTGCTTTCTGTTTGCTCAGGAAAGAATCAAATGCTCAATATTGACTGTGTGAAATGCCATCTTTCAAGAACATTTGATTTTTTCCTCATATTACAGCTCAAAAGTGTTCATCTATTAAATATGTTTTGTTTAAAAACAAGGAGTTCTCAAGGTTGCTACAGCCTGCATAAATAAACTGTGAACAGTACAATGTAGTGTAAAAGGTGCTCTGGTTGTTAGATGGGAGGAAGGGAGAGTTGAAGAGGGGAAGCAAGGAAAGCCAAAGTAACACCTGTGACACTTGAAACAAGCTGTTTTCACATGGATTGTGCCAGGAGCACAGTGTGAGCGGAGCACAGAAAAGCTGTTTGTGTGATCATATCAAACAGTGGATGAGCCTGGGCTAGGTCCTAACAATCAGCAATAGACTGGGTGGGGTGGGGGGGTAAAACCAAGCTTTGCAGTTGTGCAAAGTGGGAAACCTTGTAAAGCATCTCCCACAGCCTGGGGTACCTGCACAGGAGCACAGAGTACACCCACACACTGCAGGGGCAGCAGATGATACTGGACCTAAACAAGGAGCAGAAAACATTTTTAGTGCAAAACGAGACAACAGAACAACAGAAGCAGCGGGAAAAGAGAGTAAGGGTGAAGAGAAGTCCATTCCTGTTAAATCGTGGAAAAGACAGCTTTGTTTTCGAAATGAGCCAGGGAACATCTGTGTCTATTAATAGATGCCTGACTTTCATTAGGGGAAAACCACAATGTGCCCTTTTAAAGGAATTGAGACTTAATCTTCTCCCTGCAATGAATTATTTCCCTTGCATTTGTGTCACTGTTGTGCAGCTCCCTGTTGAAAATCCCAGTGCTAACAAGGAAGGCTTGCTCAGTGACCAATCTAAGGGAGTGCACTCAGCCTCTGTCGAGCCACTTAAGGCCCTGGGGGAAGTAACGAATTATCATTTCTTTTGAGAAACCCCACTGCAAATATTCACTAAAGCTTCCACTTGAAAGCTTCCATATAAAATCCTTGCAAAGGATGACTTTAAGGTTAAGAGAAAATATTATAATAAATAAATCAGTGTAAGATACTAAAACAGATGATTAGAAAAGATAAATAAAATAAATATAAGATATTAAAATAAATCATTAATAATCAATGAGGAATGAGCAAGGGTTACAACCTGGTGTTTTCTTTTGCCAAATCTTAGGTTTTATACATCAGATCTATAGATCAGATCTCCTGCAAACCCACATGGAAATGTATCAGAAGAAAATAAATTCTCTTCTAGGATTAGAGAAAATGGTGTCTCTCTTCACTGCTCACCCGTGGCATTATGCAGACCCAGGGCATATCTTGTTCTATCTTATTGTTGCTTGTTCGTTCCCCATAAAGGAAGTTCTGAATTGAAAATGTCATATGCCTCAAGACACAAATATTGTCATAACAGATACTGCAGAGATTTATTTATGTTCACATAAAATATGCCTATCTTATTTTAACCTGAACTCTCAGAATTAAAAAGCTGTTCCAATGTGACATATAAAAGCATTAATTTCCTCAGAGTGAAGAAGCTGAACAGGTTGAAATTTGCTCAGTTTCTTTTCTATATGAATCTCTTCAAAGGCCATTAAATGCTGAAAGCTTGGATTATTCTCCTTCTCTGCCCCAGCTGATTTCATAAATCCAGTAAATCCATCAACAAACTGGATATAATAGAATAGCTGCCTTCGTGTCCTGGAGGGGCAGGAGCAGGCCCAAGGGCAGGGTGCAGGCATCCTTCATGTCCAGAAACACTGTGTGAGGGTCAGGGTGATACCATTTTTTGCAGAAGGAACCAAGTCTGGGCTTTGCCTCTCGTCCCTTCTGTCAGGCTCCTGACTGAGACTGGGCAGAGTTCATGGCTGGGGCAGTCCTGTTCCCTTTCCCTCTTCCCTCAGTTCTTAAATTTACCAGACCTTAGGAAGTCCACAAGGATGAAACAAAGGATGCTGATAAAAAGTAGTGCTTTCTCAGGGACAGAAGTTATTTCTAAGGCCAGGAATGGCCTCCTGGTCCCATGGTGCTGATCCTGCCAGGTCCCAGTGGGAGAGGGGGTTACTGATGGCACCCACCAAGAAAAAGTTGATAGGCTGTTTCAGGGCACTGCCACTCATTGCCATAGCATTTTGGTGATGCATTGGGAGAATTTGTTCTCTCAGTGTCCCATTCTCCAGAGGGATTTAACAGAGGGTGGTGCTTATCTCTAGTTGTAAGGGATTATCTGCCATTTTAGTAATTCCTTGCCCTAAGGCCTCCACTCTGTGTTTTTGATAGTAATTGGTTGGAAGGAGAGATGGTCAATGGGGTACAGGCTACAAGCTTATTTGTCTGTAGAGATGGTGTCTTTACCACAGGCTAAGCTTCCTCTGCAAATGGCAGTCCTTTTGTACTGTGCCTTCTCCAGCAGGCAAAGGTATGATATTTTAATGTCTGTGATTTCTTAAAGCATTATCAAAAATACCAAACAGGTGATTAGCACTACACTGTCTCTCTCCCTGTTTTCCTCCAGCTTCCTGTGAATGTATTTATTTTTCCATTATTTAGAATAGTGAACCTTGTTTTTTCTTCAGTGGAATTGGCATAGCTCAAGATCTTTGAACTGTCAGCTGCTTTAAGAGGACATAAGAAGAGATAAGAAGCCTTTGTCCAAGACAATTACAATTGCTTCTTTTTCAATACTTTCAGGATACTCTTCTTAAGAGGCAACAATATGGTTATTTTTCCAAAGAAATTTCAGGATCAATTTTAAATATTAATATGTCCTTTCATTTGCATTATCATGGATCAGGAACTACTGCATAAGAAACAATAGTGGGCACCAGAGGGCAGCTGGAATGAGCATCAAATCTGAAGTGTTTGAGCTGAGTTCGTTAGCAGATATAGAATGCCATAGCTTAAATTACTTCTGTTATACTGGTTCTTCATATAAGAGCTTACTAAAATTGTTGGTGGTACTCACCAAAGCATAACTCTTCCGTCTGTGTATTTTAGCTGTTTGTTTTGGCTTCTAACATGTTTAGCCACTTCTTTGCCTGGTTCACCCTGAGCAGCTTTGTGCTTGGCCTTTGCTTAAAGCCATGTCTCCTTGTGTGTGTTCCTGTAAATATGTGGTGACTTTTCATGGGTGATGTGCTGTGGCAGCACCACAGGACTCAGCTGTGGTTTAGGAGTAAGGTGGGGTTGATGGCACACTCCAAATTCATCGTCTCCCTGGCAACATCAAAACGATCAAAGCTACTTAGTCTTTTTCTCCCTACATCAAATCCCTGTCAAGGGCACATTCATGAAAATATATAAGCTATTTCTATTATTATTATTATATGAATTTTTTTAGTGTTTGGCAGTGACTGGAAATTTGCCATCCACCCACCTTCCCCAGATGGGTGAAAAATATCATTTAGAGCAACTGAATATAAACCAGCTGGTGAATTACAGCAGAAGCATTGCTGAAGTATAATGTTTAACAATGTAGTCTGTGGGACTGATTTTATACTGAACTTCCCATAAATATTAATGTATCATAAGAAATAGTGATGCAAAGTGAATGTATTTTCTTGATAGGAGATTTTTCTTGTCAAATGCTTGAAGTAACAGTCCCTGAAGGTTAGGTACTTCTGTCAGACATTCACTCATGATCTCCTAATTGGTATGTTCTTCTGGTTTGTTCATCTGTGTTCTCCCTACTTTTCATCAGCTGTTCTCATTACAAGGTCCAGGCTGGGAGCAGAGTCCTCACTGGTTTTTAACTGGTATAGTCATCTTTTGCTAGATGACATTAATGACTGTAAAATGCTTCCTATCTGCTCTGACAATTCCACAGCCACTTTGTTTGGGTTTATCTGGGATGAGAGACAGCGGAAGACGAGGCCTGTCATGTCATGAAAACCCTTCCCAAAACAGTGCCATGGGTATGGTCCAAGTCAGCACCCTTCCCTTGGTAAGGAAATTCGCTGCCATTTGAAAGCTGTTGGGGGTGAGAAGGTTTCGATAATTTTCTTGAATTCTGTAAAAGAAATGAAAGGATCAAGGCTAAAAGTCTTCCCTGCTGTTTTCAGGCAAACTTGTTTGGTGGGAGTTTTTTTAACCTAAAGCTACTGTCATCCTTGGGTTTATAAAAGGGCTGCCTTACAATAAAGATAATGCAAAGACATATTAAACTACTGACTACGTAGGTGACATTGTTACACAAAGGAAATCAGGCTGATAAACAAATTCATTTTTCACTTAATGAATCAATACTTTGGTTTCAGAGTGGGGAAAAGCGCTTCTTAGGGCATAAACTTGAGGATTTTTCTTTCTGTTGCAGCTCTTATTATTTTCTTAAGAAAATGCTCTTCATAAATATGTACCACTTGGGTGACTTAATGTTATACGTATATTCTGTGTGTGGCAGCTGCTTAATTATCAAGACAGCCTTGTCTGATTGTGTTTTATGACGTTGCAAGCTGTATTTCCCTTGAGATAGGGGATCTGAATGCGTGGGGGTAGTGACTCATTTTGCCCAGTCAGATGGTGATTAGGGCTTTCACGGCATTTACATCACAGCAAGATGCTTGTGTCAGGTTGTACAGTTTAATACTGCATGCAGCATTAAAGTGAGAAACGGACCAAGCGTGACACAGTAGCTGGAAGTGCTGTGATAGATAACAAGCCTTGTCCTCGTTGACTTGTCTGCAGCAGGTGACAATGGTGTGTTGATTTTACCTTTGCAGTGGATGGCAAATGACCCAATTGCTCTGTAGAATCAGCAGCACCTAGACAAAAGCCGTGTCTACATAGTGAAGTACCTCTAAAAAAGCCAATTAAAAAATACTTCTTCCAAGGATCCCACGAGGGAGCGTGTTCTCAGTAACTCTTTGTTCACTGCTCTGTACTGCACTCACAAGCTGGAGAGGGAGATTTGGTTTTTTATGAATGGTAAATGGGGAGGGACATAATGTCATCAGATCGTGATGTCAGGCCAATGAATGAAATACTTCCCTAATGTATTGCTCCAAGCCCAAGAAAAGGGACACCACCTCAGTTTGGCTCCCTAGAATAAATCGTCTTTTGCTGACGAAGTCATCTTTCCCACGTGTCATGAATAATCCATGTAAATTGGGACTTAAATAACCAGGAGTCAAGAAACTCGTGGAACAGTGCACGTTTGTTCCCTTGCACGTCCTCCCGGAGCTGCCGGTGGAACACCCCTTTGCAGGCACCGCTCATGGGCTCCGGGAGTTGAAGCGCTGTTGCCGATTCCTGTCGTTCTCCATCCATTCCCAATGTTCTGCTTTTGTCTGCAGAATTCTTTGTTGAAGCTGCAAGCCCTGGAAAGCGAGCTGTGCTCTGCATTCCTGCCAAGCCAGGAGGAAGCTCCCCAGCTGCCGGCGCCCAAGGACGCAGCCCCTCCATCAGCGCAGACCGGCGTGCAGGCTGATGGGGCCGGCGGTGGAGGTAAGCGGTCCCGCCGTGGTGTGTTCTCATTTGCAATTATAAAAGAGCCTTGTGACTTGCAGTTTAAAATCAGGTTTGCAGTCAGTCCTCCCGGGAAACGGTGCAGAGCTAATGCAAAGCACCATTTCCTGGCGCAAATGCCGTGTAATGTAAAAAGGGGGTGATACCTCTCAAAAGGACAGAAATTAATGGCTGTAACCCTTTGGTTTTCTGAGGGAGAGTCTTGCTTTTCAGATAGGTTTTAAGAATTCTGACTCTTTTATTTTCAGTTTTAATCTGCTATTTTTTTCCAAGTAAATTTACGCTCTTTACTTCCTATGTCTGTATTGTGTGAGATCACCTGCCATATCATGTAATTCTATTTTTGTCATTCTTTTTGTCAGAGCAATATCACTTCATTTCTCCTATTATTGATTTTAATTTAATGCATCAGCAGAGAGATAGCGAAGGTGAGTTGTACAGCATGTGGATTTTAATCATTCATGAACCCGTATTATTACACATATGGGCAAACTGTGGTGTGTTATCTTTCCCTCTTTCCTCAATATGGAAATAAACAGCCCCAAGGCTCGGCACTATTTTTGTCAATTCATAGCTTGCAGTCCCAGGGCTTGGCAGAGTCGTGATGCTCAGCAGAAGAGGAGTCACCGTTCGTGAAAAATAGGTCAAAGGAGTATGACTAATGCATCTCACAGACTAGTGACATGAATACACAAATATCTAAACTGTGCACCATGCGTGGTTAATTGATGTTTCATATCAGAATAAATCTGGGTTCAGAAGAACTTACTTTAGAAGCTGTTTGCTCAAGAATTTTCAGCAGAAAATAACGTTATTTACCTAAAAAAAAAAATCACAAGTGATAGTGTTCTGCTTAAGAAATTCTAAAGTTGGAGGTTTGCGTTGCAAAATTAAGGAAAAAGGTATGCAGAAGTCAAATTATTATAAAAATGAAGGAATGTGAAAATGCTAAATGTCCTGGGTTTTAGCTAAAAAAAAAAACCAAAAAAAAACAGGAATACTTTAGCCCAGCAAGGCAAATACTTTAATTGCTCTTGAATACAGGTATGGAACTTGGGCTGGTGCCAGCCTGGGCATGCATCTGAGGCAGAGACAGGTCTCATGTGTGTGCTGCACAGAGACATTTTGCAGCTCATCCGAAATCTGCAGTGACCCCTTTCCTTTGTGACAGGGTGGGGTTTTCCTCCCTTTCCAGTAGTTTACCGCATTATTTTGTTCTGGTAGCTTCATAGTTCATTGTTAGATGGTCCATAATTGTTTCCTGTACTTATTTTTGCTGTTTTGATTAGATTTTCTACTTCCAGTACCCTCTCTGCTCCCATTTGCCCATATGCAGCTACTTGGGGAAATATTGCATGATGTAGCATTTCTCTTGCACAGTTGAGAGCATGCTCTGTCACTCCAGCAGTTCCAACTCTTGCTTTAGTTAAAGCTTCCCTATTTAATGGGTTTTAACATGCAGTCATTCCTGCTAACCTGCTTTGTGGTTTGTGGTATTTTTAGCAACTTGCCATTTTGCACAGGCAGAGCTGGCCCTAATTCTGCCTTTTAAATTACTACTGAGAACTTCTGATGCCCTGAGTTAAGGTGCAGTTGTCACATGGGACTATTGGCTATTTCAGCTCAAACTTGGATGGAATCCAGAGATTTGTACCAGCCTCGGCAGAGTTTTCAGAGAATGTGCCATCTATGCTACGTCTCTAGTTATTAGCCTTTCCTCAATGAATCAGGCAAAATAAACACAATCCTTTCATTTGCATCCCAGTCAACAAAAATTAGAAAGGTATGCATCATATGTATGGTGAATGAAAAGAGAACAGTCTAGTAAAATGACAGGGCATTCCAGGATGCAAATTTTAAGGGGATGAACAGCAACAGATGACCAAAGTCAGCAATTTCCAGTTTACTTCTGAATATGTAAAAAGAGAATTGGAGCTGCCAAAGTAAGACCATAAAGAATTTCTGGGGGTTACTAAGCTAGTTTCTTAAAGGGGAAAACAGAGAAGAGCAGGGTGTAATTTCTATAGCTTTTGGATATTAGTACACATCAAATATATGACTTGAGCAGTGAGCAGCTGAACCTAACTACAAGAAGTTCTAAATGGCCTTGAAATTAAAAATCCTGGTACAGCATTCACAGACATTACACGTTGAGGGCTGAACACATTACAGATGCATATTATTTTTTCTATACAAGAGATTTCAGTGTATTATTGTTTTATTTAGAGAATATCACAGGCATAAATACCGAGTTGTACCATAGGACTTGTTGCCATATGAAGTCCATCTTATGAACATATTGCATAAGATAGCAAAGCTGGCTTTAAGTCCTGTCCAGCAGATGAGATGGAGTAGATGCCAAGGGGCAACTTACTGGCTTGGGTAGAGGTGGCTTTAATTCTCAGTTTTGTAAAAAATAGAGGCTAAAATTAGACCAGACACATGAACACATGGTCAGTTCATGGGCTACTCTCAGGATAATGCTTAGAGTCTTGTTTAGGACCTAAGCAGAACTGGAACCAGGATGATGGCCTTAAGCTTTAATTAAAAATGTGGTTGGTTAGAACTTGTCATCACCGAGGTGTTTCACTATGACAGTAATCAGGCCATGTGAATGAATCAGTTTGAATTATTTGCTGACCACTTATGAACAGAGGCAGTAATTTAATGCACCTGTAGTAGGGTTGGAACTAAAGCCCTTCTTGGGCCATACCAAAGTTGCACCAGTGTGCACAGCCCTGGTGCCAAGGAAATGGAAGTGCCCTGGCCTTTGGGAAATATTCCCAAATTCATCTGGCATGCAGGTTGTCTCCTTTTCTGAATAAAAAAACCTCCTTGAGTTTTGTGTGTTTTCACGCTGGAGCTGCACCAGCCACTACCTGTCCTTTGCATTTATCTTCAAGGAGTGTTCAGTCTTGAATGTGTGCTTTTCTTCCACTTCTGAGACTGGGTTGGCCCCAGGAAAATCGCCTGGTTGTAAATGTGAAAAGGAGCAAGTGTCTGTGACCCTATGGTTTATCAGCAGTACAGTCTCCTGCAAGAGGGGTAGTTCTAGGTCCACAGGAAATCAGAGTTCAAATGTTGGAAAGTTGTTTCCTGCACCTGTCATACACAGACCAGCTGATCTTTTTATCACATCATTTTCCTTTCACAGTGAGGGGACTGCTACTTAATATGACTATAAAAGAATTTATTCCTAATAATAACAGAGCATGAGAAATCTGTGAAACTATTCTTAGTCAACCCACTTCACAGTGATTGTATATTTCTTGAAGTTCAAAGATGGTGAAATTAAAGAAAGGAATCCAGGTTCTTCTCATTGACAATCTTCAGAATAAAAAAGCCCCACAGCAGACCAAAACCCAACCAAAACTATAATTTTTTAAAAAATCTTACAGGGTAAGGAGACAGTACTTGCCAAAAAGAGATAACACTTTTGTTTGCAGAACAGCAATTATTCCAGCCATTATCACTGTGTGCTGTCAGTACCTGATTTCCCATGGCTTGTACAGTTCTCTACCCTTGTTTCTCCCAGATGCCTTTCTGGATCTCTCTGTGGGAGGATTTGAATCTCACACATGATTTAGGAGACTTGGGTGTTGCTCTGGTACCTTGGAGAGTGGAATTTGACCTTCATAGTATGAGGTATTTAGAGGAAAGGTGCAAGGTTGGAACTAAAAATCAGCCACATTGTCTCATCATGAAAATGCTTAACATAATTATAATTGATGATGCTGCCAAGAGTAGATGAGTTTATAGATACAAAGGTCACATGCAACTTTTGCATGACAGACTAAACTGTGATTATACAGTAGGATTTTTTGTTGTCTGTAAAGCAAAAACGGGTGGATAGTGCCCAATAAAATGATATTTTAGGCCATTGTAACTACTATATGTTAAATTAATAGTTGTTTTTTTGTGAAGGCTGCCACTCAGAGCTGTTTTTTCCCCCACTGTCCCAGTGCAGCAATAGGGATTTGCAGCTTCGGTATCTCTTGGGCAGAGGGCAAATAAAATGTAATGCAAAGATTCCATTAAAATCCTGACAGAAATACCCACTCAGCATAGGAATGTCATGTCCCATGTGCAAAGGAGAAAATGAAAAGAAAGTGAAGGTGAAAGAACTTACCTAAACCTGCCAGTTCTTCTATGAGTAAATCCATGTACAGTTGTTTTCCTGTGCAGTTTTAGACTTTAATTGAATAAAAAGATTCTGTGAAATGTATTAGAATACAAGCCATATGGAAAATATAACACTGATCAGAAATCACATGCATGCTACCTGGAAATCCAAAATAAATGAACTAAATATATGAATTAAAATATATGAATTAAAAAGCTGTATATATAAATGGGTTTAGAAAAAAAAAATAACATAGCTGGTGTAAAATATTATGTGCTGTGGAAATTGCTGTAGGGGGACCTGAGACAGAGCATAATCTTTGCTTTAACAAAGCAAAACAGAGAGAATTTTTGGGCAAGGACTTTTATGAATGTGGAGTTTCTCCCTAAAAAGTATAATCTGCTTTAAATTGCAATCATCTGATAGCAAAAATGTGGATTAGGCTACATCATCCTCACCCACAACTACTGAGGGTGAGGAATAAGATACAATGATTATTCCCTTTAATGTACTCATGTACAGCAAAGGGAAGATGAACTCTGGATATTCCCTGGAGATAGGCACTGTAATGTGCCCATTAGTTTTCATGTCACCCATAAACAGAACCAGTGAGATGAAGTTCACCAATTCCTACTTTTTTCTAGCTTGATCACCACTATAAAACAATTTTACCTTTTGAGGCACCTGGGGTGAGGTTTCCATTCACAGTCCAAGACACTGTTAACACGGTATCACAAGCATGACTCCTCCAGGCAGCAGTCACTGCCCACTTACCTTGAATAGCTAACTGGAATATTACAGGTGGTGGTTGCTATTTTCATATCCTGTGTTCTTTAGACCCATAGGTATGTTCCTTCAAACCTTAACAAAAATCTGCAAGCAGCCCTGGAGGTTCTCAGCATCAGGGCACATTATATTTTTGATCTTCCTTTCTCTTTGCCAAGGCAGTAAATGATAAATCACAAAGTTAATCTTACTTTGCACACTCGTCATCTACTCCAGAAATGTGGCTCTCAAAAATAAACAGATCTATGAAAATACAGGTAGTGCTGCCATTCTGGGAAACTCTCCATCTTTATATTATACTTCATTATTTATGAACGCACCCATCTAGCTTCTCCTGTGGAACTCAAAAATGATTTAGGTTAAGCCAATAACTGTACTTCTGTCATCCTCAGTCCCGTGTTCATCCTGCATGTGACACTTTGCTGAACTGTTTGCTGTTTACTTTGGGCCCTTGTGCAAGGAAAGATTTGCATTCACCTTGGTAGCTCAGTACCTTGTGAGTGACCCCCGGTCCACACTGATTTGTACTTTCTTTCCAGAGCCTGTGCCAGCCCACAGAGACTGGCAGAACGACATGGAGAGCAGCCCACAGGAACATCACTCCCTAGGGACCAGTCGACTGCTGTATCACATTACAGATGGAGACAATCCGCTTTTGTCACCACGCTGCTCTATCTTTAGCCAAAGCCAGAGATTTAATCTAGACACAGAGTCTGCCCCTTCTCCACCAAGTGCTCAGCCTTTCATGGTGTAAGAAAATGTATTTTAATTCTTATGTGTCTTTAAAACTTTTTCTGCAATCCACAGCCTTTGACTCTTCATGGGTTTTTTTTAGTCACTGTCATGTCATAAACAGGAAATTTTTCATATTGTGGCGTATTTTGACATGGATAATTTGCAGTACCATAAATAGGAACTAGTGTTCTCTCAGTCATAACAGAGGACATTGTTTGAAATCTTTGTTAACTACAGTTAGCAAGGACAGTTTTAAATGTCAGTTAGTAATCAGTGTGATAAGACAAGGTGGCATAATACTAAAAATTTCAGCTGTAACTGAACTACAGCTTGAGCCATTCACTGGATGTGACAGTGTCAAACAGCATATGAACTATTCATATATGTGATTTCCAGAAACCAAGCTGTGAGTTACAGAGAGAAATCAAACTTTCTTAAAAGCTCATATACATAGCTTCATCTGCATATGGATAATAATCAGATCTGTTGATTTGCAACTGTAAATAATCAGAAACTAAACTGCCTTCAGAATGACAATGATTATTCCCAGCAATGAAAAACTCCCTGCACTTAGTTTTGCAAATCATGTCATTACATTCTCCTGTTATAGCTGGAAGATTTGTGAATTAAGATATGGGTGTTAAATGTAAGTAATGGATCAGGGTTTGACTTACTAGATTAACTTTTTTTCCAAAATATTCAGAAATCCCACAATTAATTATAAAAATAGAGAATGAAAGACAGACAGTGAACCCATTATTATACCCTAGGGGTACCTTCAAGTAAAAGCAATTATTTTATGCTTACTTTGTAAAACTAAGCTGTCTCTATCTTGTGAAACAACCTAGCTGTGAATTCTGAAGTGCTAAGAAAGTTAAAGTGTGCCTGAAAAAATGCAAGGACCATTATAGCCAGTTCTTAGATCCAGCAACTATTTTTTTTGGCTTTTGCAGGCCAAGAAGTTCTTCCAGATGTAACTGTGAAGACTGCAAAGAACCACAGACAGTAACACAACTTACCAAGCATTTGCAGAGCCTCAAGAGAAAAATTAGGAAGTATGAAGAAAAGTTTGAGCAAGAAAAAAAATACCTGGTAAGATAATAATTGAAAAAAAGAGGAAGGCAAGGATCCCAGTGTATTTAAACTTATGCAAAACAGTAAAAGAAAGGGTATTTTTAGTAAAATGAAATGGGAAAAACTTCAATGAGGGAATATCTTTTTGGCATCTTCCAGTGTAAGCAGTAGTTCTGAGACTCTAATTTACATTTTCTTTGGATTACCTTTGTTGCAAAATATCCATCTTCGAGAAGTGTGAAGCAGTGAAATGTAGCTGACAGGCTTGTGAACCAAAATGATGCAAAAAATGAAAAAAAAAAAGATGAAAAGCTACTTATTCACTTTGTAGAACTCATTTGCTTGGAAACTGTTGCTCCTCTGTGCAGATTCCTTCTTTCAGGCAGACTCCTGTAAACCTCCAAAGTGTGGGGCTCAACAGAAGCTGATGGCAGAAATTAAGAGAAATAAAACTTATGGGGGGTTGCTTGAGGTCAGTGGTGAGCGCTGTGCCCTCTGTGCAGGATTGTTCATATCGAGCTGGTTTGTGTAATGTGAATTGTGCAGCTTAAACATATCAAAGAATGTGTACAATATGAAATAGGGAAGTTTGTGATATTTTCTGACCATATTAAAATTAATTACATATTACCTTGTAATCCCATTGATGACCGAAAACTTAAACTTGTGAATTGTATGGCCCAGTGGTCATCATATGCTCCCAGGAGAAAAATTTTATACATAATCCTCACACTGTGACCAGGGAAAAAAAATATTTGAGAGGCCTAATTTTGCAAAACTGTTATGCCATTTTAAATATCTTGAGTTTTGAAGATCCAGTGTAAATTGATTTAAACTTGGAGACAATTTCTAAATGCAAAGAAAGAACTGATATAGATTCAGTCGTTTGCTACTTTTGAGATGACTCTAGCACAGGATTTTTTCATTTGATTATTTAAGCAGGTCAGTGGAAATTTTTTAAGTGCTGTTTCCCAGCAGAATCCCTGTCTTAAAGCAAGGGCTCATCCCTGCAAGGGACAGAGAGCTTCAGTTACCATCCTGGAAATCACTTAGGAACTTGACTAAAATTGGGTATTTGATCAATCCTTTTGAAGTCACTGAGGTTATTTACCCGATTAGTCAGAGACTTAAATGTTGTTGGGTCTTTTTTAGGATCAGAGACAAAACACCCAGATCCATGTAGCACTGTGCCACAATGGGGCACAGATAAGTCATGACAAATTAATGCCACGATCAAGCCAAGTGCTCTGCATGGCCCCGTGACACCATGCAGTGGGAACTACGGGCATTTTGGAGCACAAAGGGTTTTGTCTGTTTGATCACTTAACTCTCAGTTCCTTCTGTTTCTTTACATTCTTTACGTTTGTCTTCGCATTCAGCCTTCCCATGGTGACAAGACTTCCAATCCTGAAGTTCTGAAATGGATGAATGCTTTGGCCAAAGGTCGGAAGCAGCTCAAAGGTACATAATAATAGAACGTTGCTTTCCCTTTATTGCTGAAGCTTTTGGAAGTAGGAGTGTACCTGGAATATTTTAGAGTCAGTTGTCTAACATCACTGCTCTGCTTATTTTTCACAGTGCATGCCAATAAGGCTTTCAAAGGCAACAGAGATATTAGGGGATATGACTTGCCTTGATTCCTGAAAGCAGGGATTAAAGTAAGCCAGTTCAACCTTCATAGCAAGGCTAGAAAGGGGAAGGGGAAAAAGACACCGTCTCTCCCTTATCACTATAAACATTCATGCAAAAGGCAATGCTATTTTGAATATTTCCATGAGTGCCTGAAATAGAGAAGTTAAAACTTTCCTTGTAATGGCAGAAATGTAGGTGAAACTGTTTCTTTACGACTGAGGATATTCATCTCTAAAGATTTTATTTATTTTGATCATAAGTACAGATCTTTCCTTGGTATTAGATTTGGTCTTGAGGGTCAGGTTTTGCCCTTGACTGTCTGCGAACCACTCCATTAACGTCTAGGGGTGTATCACATGCTTTCCCTCAGGGAGAATGTAGCCAAGACAGATTGATTTTTTTCTTAAGGCTATTTATAATTTATCTAAATCTTTTTTTTCCCCTGTTATAAATGGATTCTCACTACTAGATAAATTGTAGTACTATCTTTCATCTCTGTTCTGGATGTAGTTAATAATGTAGATATAGAGGCTGTGATTGTGGTAAGTAAAGAATTAGAAACTCATCTTTCAGTAAATTTCTTCTGGAAAATTCTCCCTTGAGTACTGTCCTGTAAGATTTCATCATCATCATTATGATTATTATTTTTGTCGTTGTTGTTTTTCCTTGAACTTTGTGTTACAAATCCAGGAAATACAAGTGAGAAGAAATGGCTGATCTACTTAGTTAACTTTCTGAAAATTATCTTTTTGACTCAACCATTGCTTCTCCTAGCCAGGGGTCTAGTGTTCATAGATCAGCCTCACCTTCACACCTAAAATGCTTAATCCTGTGACAACCCTTGATTTTATTATCCTGAATAATGGCACGGCTTTTAAGTGAAGCGAGATTCATGAGATTAACATGACAAGTACAACTGAAATGGAAAATACTCCGGTGCTTCTTAGGTCCTTCTCCAAATTCATAAGGCTTGTCCATCCTTTCTAGCTCTGTGGGTTTACTAAAAAATTCTGATTTTCCCTACCAAGCTGGCCTATATCCTCAGACTGTCACAGCTAAAAAATTTTATTACTGCTTCTGCATGGATTTCAACAAATTTAACACATGTGGAGCCATCAATCTTCTGCCTTGCCCAAGGTGCTGCACCAGCCAGATGTGTGCTATGAACAAAGTCTGATTTTACAGGAGATAATTCAGATTGCAATTCAATTTCCTCGTTGCTCTGTGCAGGTCTCTGGAGCTCCAGGGTCTTTGGCTTGGTGTCAAGCTAATATACTCGCACACTTTATCACATCCAGGCAGGTTGCTGACTGGGAAGCTTGGACACACTGTAACCTGTCTGTCTTCTGGGTTGCTCAGATGCTCTTCTGGCAAGGGAAGTGGCTGTTTCTCCACCTGAGCCTGGCTTAGGGCAGTGCAGTCTCTGGAAGGGAGGTGGACGGTTTAAATTGCACTGGAGAGCAATGTTGGTTATCCAGACCTGGGTACTCCAGCAGCCTGGCATGGAGGGCTCTGTGGCACAACTTGGCCCCCACAGCCCTTCTCATTCTCCTCCTCCCTTGTGCAGCAGCACAGGAGGGCAGAGAAGCGCAGCTCAGGTGAGAGGGGAGCAGATGCTGCAGAGACACTGCTCTGGCTTGGGAAGGTGTCTGTGAAAGATGCATCCTTGGACAGCAATGCCCACACCAGGCACAGGCATGTTCTTACTTATCCAGAGAGTACACAGGCTTAGCGAGGAGAAGGAGGGGAATGAGAGAGCTCTGCCTTCATATTCCCCCCACACCTAACCTCCCATAAATATTTTCTCACTGTTTTTCCTTTTAAGCCCCTTTCTTAACCTCACTCCCACTGAAATTCAGCACTAATTCCTATCCAGACCCCACTCCATAACTCAGTGCCTCTTCAGTCCTCACCTTTTGTGTCAAAGATGGCCTTGGAGGAAAAAGAATTACACATGTGCTGTAAATTTCATTGTCATGGACACATCTCATCACTTGACCATTGGATTTCCCTTTAACCAGGTAAAAGATTTACATGTTAAAGTGAAGCAGAATTACTTTCCTATATATCTGTGGTATGATGAAAATTGTATGCAAAAACTAGGAAAGTTTTGTTTTGTTGTTTGTTTGTTTGTTTGTTTTTTTCTGGTAGCGTCAGAGGAAACTGCTTTGCAAATATTTCTAATCTTTTCTAATCTTGCCATGTAATTTGCCTTTCAGAACTGAAACTCAGAATTACAGAAGAGCAAAACTGCACCTCCACAGCACCCCAAAGAAATGACCATTGTGAAAGCACTGGGACCTCTAAAGAGGCTGGCACACAGGAGGCCACGAGCATGGAACCAGCTCCCTCAGTGGAAGAAACCATGGATAGCGTATTGAGGCGACTGAAGGAGAAAAGACAACACTTTCACCTTCCTGAGACTATTAAGGTATTTAACAAGCATGGCTGTTTCCTTCAGGACTTTATCACCTGAGGCAGGTTATTAGTGTGTAGCTGTCTCAGGGGGTGTGTGCATCTTCTGTCATCTGGCACTGCAGTGCAACTTCTCTCTAATGAGATGGGAGCTCTAGTGCAGTTCCTGAAGTGATCTCTCTGAGAAGAGTTTCTCAGACAAAGAGGTGCAGAAGGCTTTTTCAAGTAGAGCTAAGCACCTTTTGCTCAGAGGTGCCTGTGTAGAACAGTTTGCCAGGCACTGCTAGAACCTGCCTACTTGAGGCTGCGTATCCCCATGTGGTGAAGATGGTGACAGCAAAAGCAATCCCATCTTCAACCTCCAGAAACTGCGTGACTAAAAACCTTCCTGAAGTTCTTTTGATGATAAAGGTCCTCTCTCACCTGAGAGATGCTGAAAGCCTCTGCCCAGTCGATGGTCTGAGGTCATGAGGAGAGCACAACCATCCAGACAGCTTTGCCCTTCTGATCTTGTACGTTTACTTGTGCTGATGCTGTCTCTGCTCTTCCATGGTCTCAATTAGGAGCAATATTCCGTTAGACATGATTGCTTGGCTGGGTAATTAATTTTGGTTTTGAGCTACTACATATTTTAAAGTTTTGCTGCACCTTCCCGTTCTCAGCACACTGTAGGGTTGTCTGAAGCAGTACATCCCACCCATAAAAATACTTCTCGGGGGGGGGGGCTATTTTTGCTGTCCAGTGATGTTGCTGTTCTGATGCTGTAGAACCAAGCAAGGCAATAAATTCAGCCCTCAAAAGTATCTAAAATCTAAACATTGACAGTAGCATTTAGACTCTAGCTGGTGAACAAAAAAGGGGACAAGGGGGACAAGGAGGGATGAAGAACTAAATGCTAAACTATGTGAGAACTAAAAAATTATTCTGGGTGGATTTCAGTAGCAGAGAGTACCCAGCAGAGATAATTTTTAATTTTTGTTTTGCTTCTATTCTTAGTTCTTAAACAACTAGTTGCTATATAAAAACCAGAACTGTGCATAACAATGCCATACTTCTGAGATCTTGAGCTCTGTATACATGACTGATTTTTAAATTGTTTCTTTTTATATGCTACTTTTTAAAAACCTGAAATGGAAAAAGTGTTTCATAACCAGAAAACAAAAGAAGACAACAAAACCATGCTGTTCTGTATATAGTCCTAAAATTCCCACAGTGCAGACCGTAGAATAATATTTTCAGTTTTTAAATTGTTTTTTATTATGCAAGGAGTCAGATCAGATGACACCAAAACAGATGTCAGTGAGGAAATTCTGTCCAAAAAACTCTTATAAGAGTAAGCTGGGTGTGGGTCTCTGTTCCATTAATTTTTCAATTTATTGGACTTTTCCTGATTTTCCAAGAGGACATCCTAAATCTGTGCAATGGCAGTGCTGTCTTGAAATATTCTCACAGAGAAAAGAGTAATGGAAATTAAATGTTTGCACAAGTCATTATTTTCAAATGCTTTTTTTAAGAGGTCTTATTTATTTTCTTCTTGTATTCTTGTGGAGAGAACTTGTGTTGAGAGAACTGTTTGTTGGCAAAGGTGTTTAGTAATAGTTACACCAAACTGCTGGGGAACAGAAGTTTGAGTAGGAATAACACGAAATCAAATTGATCTATTTCAAAATTATATATTTTAGTAACTCCCCAAGTATAACATTAAAAAATATTGGATTTTGATTATGACTCATCCTGGACTTTTGGGGGAGAATGAGGTTTATAGCACTTGGAGATGCGAAATGAATCAAGGATGGTTCCAGCAAAGATTATGAATGGTTCCAGCAAAGATCAAAGACTTCATTTCAGCTACACACAAGTTTGCAGTTACTGTAGATATTTTTTATGTGCAACATTTTATCTTGTATATAACATTTAGATCTTGTAGAAGAATCTGAGCCACATTAATAGTATAGTAAATAGCAGCTAAATATTTCTTTTTTTTTTCAATATTTAGTTATTTTGGGCAAGGATGGTGTTTCTATAAAAGCCTGCCAAGTTGTCCCCTGAAATTCTGCTGTGGAAAGCATCTAAGGCCCTGTTGAAATAGAAATGAGAGAATGTGTGTCCTCCAGAGAGGTGCAGAGTAAAATCCCAGTGTTTCTAAAGAGCACAGACCACAAGACCTGAATACAAAATAACAGAATGTGGTTTCCAGAACAAAACATCCCTCCTGCAAAAGAGCCTGTGAGTGAAGTTATTAAATGAGAAGGTGTAGAGAAAATTGGGATTGGCCTGTGAATGGCTCAGTAACCCACAAGGGGATGGCCACCTCTCACTGTTTGTGTCACCAGCTCCTTGTGCAGGGAGATGGTGGTTTATGTAATAATTCACCTTCTTTCTACTTCTGTGTAAAATGCTGCTTTGCAATGAGCCACCACACATCCCCAAGAGGCAGACTTCGGCCCTGGGAACCTGGACTCTGTGTCTGCCTGGAAACAAAGCACCTCTTTTGAGAGGCCCCAGGCAGGTCCAGCTCTTGCTGTCACACTGTCTGTCCGTCTGTCCTCAGTTTGTATTTTCTGTCTGTATAAACAACAGCGAGAGATGTTGGCAATGCAGGGGACAGACTAGTAAGGAAATCAACTGTGTACAGCTCTCTGTTCCAAGTTATGAAAACCAAACTACTTAGCTTTAGGTGAAGTCTCCTTTTTCTTTCTTTATATGCCACAAACAATTTTTGCCTTATGTTTAGTTTGAATGTTTGCAGTCTGTCCCCCAAGGCCTTTCTCAGACTGGTTCACTTTATGTATCTGTCTTCTCATTATTGACCTACTTCTGTTCATATTCTCCTTGGCTATGAAGCAGTGTTTTTATTTAATAAGCATTGGATTTTCCACTGGTGTATTCAGCCTACAGTCCTAAGATGTCTCAGACAATTCTGTAGTTTGTGATTTCACCTGCCTGCTCTGATTTTGAAATTATCAGCCATTTCAAACTTAGCCGAATACAAACCTGTCTTGAGATGGCTAATAAAATGAGCTAATGAAATAGAGTCAAATGCTAAACCCCCTGGAGATCATTTGTTGTGTGATAAATCAATATTAATGATCACTCCCCATTTCTTCCTAACCATTCAGCTGCTCTGGGCTTAATAGTTTTTGAAAGAATTAACCTTGTATTAATTGCAGAACTAGCAATAAATAAACAAATTAGCTAATTTATAATACTCCTGCATTCTAGTTAGCAGCTCATCTCTTAAAATGAATGACAATTTTAGAGTGATTAACTCATGCAGACCTTTTAGGCAAAATGTGATTAGCAGTTCTGATTAGTGGCTTTGCATTTGAGGAGCAAACAAAAAAGGTTTTGCTCCTGCTGAAGTTAATAGCGAGGCACTCTGGTATCACAAGAGTGCTACTTCTTCAGGGCTTAATATATTTTTAAAAATAGAGTTTAATTAGTAAAAATATTTCTCCAAATCATAAGTAGAAAAACCTTAGTCATCGAATTTCTGCGGAGAGGCACACTGTGTGTCCCCAACTCCATGCTTCCATCCATTACTTCATCTCCTCCAAACCTTTGGACACTTGAACCTGATTCATACAGCTCTGTCATGATCTGGCAGACTGTGGAAAATGACATTTAGCTCCTTGGTGTTTGGGAGCAGATCTTGTTGGGAAGAGGGGAAAAGGGAAAAGAGGAGATAAATACCCATTGCATTGTGTGCTCCCTGCAGCAGACACCTGTACATGTACTGGTGTGTCACCAACACTGACAAATTGCATTGTTGAAAAATCAACATTCTTCTGCTACCAGTGATCTGTATTGTGATTTTTGAACAGAAATAAACTGCCAGTGCGAGATGCACTTTCTGCAGCTCCCCCACAGCGGTTCTACCAATGCACACTGTCCAGGCAGAACTTCCTGCTGCCTGGTTAGTCTTCCATTTCATTTTACAGACAGTACCTTTTCCTAGTAGCCCCAGCATTTAGAGAGTGTTCATCATAGTGTCACGATGGCTGAATATTTAGGGATTTCATTGTGAATCTATCACTCCACTCCACAAACAGGTTGGGTTTGCATTGCTGAAGCTTTCTCTTCTATACCCCTTACCAGCCAAGGCAAATCCATTTCTCTTTTTTGATGAATAATTAAAAAGTTGAGGGAAAAAAGTTGAAAAATCCTCTCTGTATTTTTGCAAGTTTCTGAGTATTTTGAGCAGAATGGTGGCTGTTCTCATTTGTTGCAACTAAACATACTTAATATATAACGGGGAATGCTATTTATGAACTAAACTGGCAAATGGAAGTTAACAACATTATTTTCTGATTTCTCCATAAGATGGATGAGGAAAAACATTTCTTTAGTTTTTCAGTCACAATAATTATTCATTAATGTTACCTAAATTGTTCTAAGAAAGTTCTGCAATGGTACCTGTGGGACCTCGTTTGCCAACACCTTCTGCTCGCGTGCTGCTGTCACCTTTTATGAGCCTGCCTTGTCAAAACCCAACCGATGACACACACCTCATGTCCATGCAACTTGGCTGAGATATTCCAGCTAAAAACCCTGCTTCCTCAGTGCCTCTGTCAAATGGTATTCTCAGGAAATTTTTTTTGGATGCAGACTCTGAACACCACATGAAGATTCTCACTTTACTGACTAAGACCACGGTTTTACCTTTGGAACCTTCCAGATAAGGAATGCAGTGTTCCATTGGTAGCCTAATAGCACTTCCTGGCCTTAAGCTTGTTAAATTGCTTTGGTGGAATAGTAATTTTGAGAGAAACCAAGGCAATCAAGTGTTAGATGTGTGACAGTTAAGAAAAATAAGATTCCAGGCTTTCAGTGAACTTTCATTTATGCATCTTTCGCCATAAGACAGAGCACAAGTTCAGGCTCCAAAGGCTCCCCTTTGGCAGCCAAAGCAAATACAGTGTATTTTCCACTGGTAAAAGCCTGACAGAAAGACTACTCCAATCAGTAGAAGTATCTCCATAGCTGCCATCAGCTCTGCATTAGGCCTTGAGAGAGTAACATGTCCTTTGATTCATTTAAAGATTCAGTCATATAATTTTGGACTCTGCTCTTGCTAAGTTAATGCCAAGTCCCCATTGACCTCAATGCAGGCAGAAAGAGGATTCATTATTAATGTTTATCTGGGCAGAGCAGATTATTAAACAGATATGTACCTGTACCCTCGTCATGAAATCCTGACTCATAATCTTATAAATAACTCTTTTAAATAGGATATGACAAAAAAGCAAATGGCTTTGGAAAAAATCAGTCTTCAGAAATGTCTACTGTATTTTGAGAGTATTCATGGAGAACCTGTAAGTATGCCATGGAAAGATAGGTACATTAAAAATTATCTAACTTATCTAACAAATATTTTTGGGCTTGTATATTAAATATATTCAGATGAATTTTACACAATTAACATAATTTTGGTTATTTCAAATTAATTTTCAGGTATAAATGTTATTGCCTGATACTGATGAATGTGGTTTATATGTTAGAAAAATAAACTAAAATAAAAAGAGAATCTTTTTATCTCTCTTCATGATTGGAAAATGCAGGATTTGATGATAAAGTTGGGAGATGATATCTCCACAGCAGACCTGGCTCATGCATCCTTGGCTCTGCTATGATGCATGGTTAGAGTGCTTGGCAGCTGAGAAAGGTTTTGTATAGGGCACCATCTAGGACATGAACTACAAAATGACATGACCTGTCATGTGTTTTTTCCTTTACTACACAGCAGCAGTTAAAACTATTAATTAAAATCCTTTCAAGGGATTTAATTCCTGAATGTAGGTGCAAAGCAAAAAAAAAATTCCACCATTGGTGAGATGATGACTTGAAAATTTGTCTATACACAACTGTGGAATTTCTGTTTGATATCTATGTTTGTGTTCTTATGACTGTCTCTGTTTCTGGCTAGTAATTCCAGTGGTAAAGGGGAGCAGCACCAGCATGTGTCCAAAAATATGCCAGCTGTTAAAATTATCTCTGCATCTTGGATAAAACCATTTTTGTTCATCTTCTTTGGGCTTGGAATGAGAGCTGAGGGATGGAGAGGGTATGAAGAAATTATACTTCCTAAGAAGGAGAACAAAAAAGAAATTATTAGTGCTATATAGACATAAAAGAGACTTGATTCAAAAAAGGGAATGATAGGGCATGTTTTATAGCATGGAGTTCAGAGAGGGTGTTTCTTCTCAAGGTTGAAGCAGCTCTGTAACAGCAGCCTTGAAACACAGCAGAGCACACTGGGGATGATGATTGCCCTGGTGATGTATAGTATGGCTCAGCATCACTATCATCCAGACTTACCTTAACAAGGTCAGACAGAGAGCGCACTGACCAGGTTTCAAACAAAAAATGATCTATTCTGGCTCTTTGGCATTCCCTGGAGCCACTCTTACGGGTTGTAATCAAATGGGACATGACGACTGGGGAAGAAAAGTGGACTCACTGGGAGTGACATTCTGCAGTGAAATAAATGTGCCTCTAGAAATGGTCCCCAGCTACTCAGTGAGCCAGACATACATGGTGTCACCACCCTGTGTTTGTCTGTCACCCTTACTCTGCTGACCAGGCATTTGGCTGTTTCTGAGCAGCTCTGGACTACTGTCTGCACTGTCAGCCAGTCTGTGTCTCTTCAGAGCTGCTGTGTGTTCACTCACCTGAGTGGGTGGACCTCGGCTTCACTGTGCCAAAAATCAGTGACACAGTATGCAGAGAGAGCTCATAGGCATGGGAGTTGAGGAGCAGAGGCTGATGGTGGACTTGCTTGCAAATGACCCTGCTTTGGCATTTAATCACTGAGGAACATGTTTTTTCTGGGGATGATGGGGGTTGTTCGTTGGTTGAGGACTTTTTTGTCTTGTTTTTTTTTCCTTGTGGAATTCACTATTTTTTCCTTAGTATAGTAAGTCAGTCTACTGCACAGCTAGTTTCCATAAGGTTTATTTTTGTATTGGTGAATATTTGTGGCTTGATCAGGCTCTTAACAGTTGAATTTAAATCATACTCTCTTCCAAATCAATGCTTCTAGCGCTCATAAAAGACCAAGAGCAAACTAAATGAACAGACAGCTAATCCTGTTTGTGGAAGGCAGTTCCAGTGAGGAATGCATGCAGCAATCCTGCATGGAGCCAGCTCCATGTGGAGGCTGTAAAGCTGTGTTCCTGGTGCTCTCCATCCCACTGAGTCTACGAGCATATTGTCCCAGGCAGACTGTCACATTCCTGCAGGGAGCCTGTTGCTATTCTTACAGCTGAGTGAGTGAGATACCAATGCAAGGCACAGTAGCAGTGTATCTTAACTCTTACTGCTCCACCAGCATCCTCAGAAAGTGAATAATATCCCCTCTGCCTGGCTGGTATGGCTCCAGGAAGTGAGGAAACCACATTGGGTATTCTCCATTAGAAAACAGATTGCCATTTTCCTTTATGGGAATTGTATGAATTAAATTACAGTGCCCATGGAATATCTCTGGAAGCAAAATACACATCTGGTCATATTCTTCTAATACCTTTCTCAGCTTTACAGGAGCAAATGAGAATCTTTTTAATTTACCTTTTATTTTTAATTTTGGAGGACTACATTTTGTTATGATTTCTCTTTAGGTCACTAAGCAAGAAAAGAGTCTCATGAAACCTCTTTACGACAGATACAGAATTATCAAGAAACTTCTTGCAGCTCCATCTTTGATCACAACAATTGTAAGTTGGAAAGAATTCATATCCATTGTAAAAAAAAAACCCATAGAAAATGCCGTGCTTGATTTGTACCTGTATGTCCGTTTGGCAGCAATACAACTACTGATATTTAAAAAATCTGCTCACTGGTTAATACAGGGTGTTGATATTTCAAGTAGAGCAAATGCTCTGTAAAATTCAGCTTCTAGGCATGTCACAGGGTGCAATTTATGGCAGCAGTTTCTGAGGCAGTACTTCAATGGCCTGGGTAAGAGACAAAGCTGGCATTACTTTTTCATCATGGCTAACGCAACACAGAAGGAAAGCTCTCTTTTCATGAAGATCTCTGCTGTCACTGTGTCTTGCTTCTGTAACTTATTGACAATGCTTTTATCAATCATGTAGCATATAAATATTAGTAATACTTTAATAATATATCACTGTAATGTAACAGTACTGGTCGCATGGGCAGTAAAGGTAGTGGCATCTGGCTACTTCAAAGTTAATTAGCGTGTCCATCATAAATACTAATCTAATAGTAATTGGAGCTAGATTGATTTTAAAAATTATTATTGTCTTGTTAGATGAGAGTGGAGCTTCAGATTTCTCTGAAAAATCCCAATATAAAGCTTTGTACACATGCACAGAGGTATTTTATTAGCAAATTTAACTGAAATTCTCCCTTGCGTTACTTTGTAGGAGCTTTGCCCCATGGAAGTTTTATATTTAAGCCTCCGTTTCAATAGCTCAGCTTTTCTTCTGAGGATGGAGGAATGTAAGAAAGACAGCAGTAATCACCTATTTTGGTAGTTAAAGTTTGTAGCTATAAAACTGTGGAATCTCTCCTTACAACCCTTGTTACAGTCAGAATTTCTGGACACAATGCACACAGTAGATGGTATATGAGAGGAGTACAAGTTCCAGCCAGACTGCACTGCTGAAATAAATACAGAATGTTAGTTACATCTTTGCTACATAGAAGGGCTTTAGAGCAAACAGAAATAAATTGCTGGCTGGGGATACTCAGAAGCAGGGCCAACTTCTGTCCTTTATACTCATGATAGACAATACTCAGTTACCCAGTGACCCCACGAGTGCTTTCATGAACAATCTCGATAAAGATTACCAAGATTTATCTGGGTAAAGCTTTCAATGTGTGTAACCTATTGCAAGGAATACATCCAGGAAGTTAGATCCTAATTCTTTTTGTTGTCATCCTATGAACTGTGAGTGTTCCAATTTAAACAATTAATTAAATAATGCCTCACATTTCACAAGCAGGAGGAGGAAGACTCAGATGAAGACCATTCTCAAAGCAGCCATGAGTTGTCATCTGGTCCAATGTCTTGCTTCCCGGTTGAAGAGCACCTGTGTTACTCTCAGGAGGAGAGTGAGCCTGCACACGTCTCACCTCTGGATGAAAAGAAAGTTTACAGGCAAACAGCCTTGTCTATGTCCAATTTACACGAGGCAACAATGTAAGTTCCCACGTTTTTCCCTTGTATTTTTAAAATGTTTCATGTAGACTTTCTAAATGAAACATGAGCCATACCTGTTACACAGGGATATTCTACACCAAAGGAGTGATTCAGTATTTTCTTATGTGAGAGAAGAGGCAGAGCAGATTTGTTGTTTGGGCAGCATACCTGTGGTTTGAGCTATTTATTCAAACAACTTTGTGCCAAGTCCAGGAAGAGCAAGGTAAAGGAAAGTAAGCAGATAAGAGAAATAAAGACAGCGTGGTAGATACGACATAATGGCATCGTAGAGATATGCAGACCTACCTTTAACTGCTGCAAAATTTGTAGCTATCTAACTACTTAGGTTCTTACAAAGCTGTCATAAAACTGGACAATAGTCTGCTCCTCTGTGTGTGTATTGGGACTGACTGTGTGAGTGACATAAAAACGCCAGTGACCTCAGGCATCCAAACAGCAACAGGGGAGCTGCATGAAAGGTCATACAGCAACTGGTCACATGGGAGGCCACTGGATGCATGTAAAATCAATTTATGCCTTGCCTAAGCCTAGTTATTAGTGCCTGACTGCTCTGAAAACTTACCACCACCCTCCATTGCAAAACCAAAATAAAGCCTTCCTTATGATTTGTAGTAGTTAAGAACTTCAGATTGCATGAGACAACAGATCTCAAGATGCCCATATGCTGTTTTCACTCCGTCAAGAAACTTGTTGAGGACTATGCCTTCCAGGAACAGATATGTTCACATAGCTTAGGGGATGGTATCTTTTTCTTGTGTTTTGATTGGGAGTTCTTAGATGCATAAAGGAAGCTAACTAGGCTTTACCAAAATTGAGAATAAATAAAAATTACTTAGATTTCTATGTAAATGAACTCTGTGTGCAATAGTTTGCTCACAAATGCTGGGAAGATATTTCTGTGCATTTTGTTGTTATGCAAAACCCCAATAATTACCAGGTGCAAATGCCATCACAGAGTTCTTTCTCTGCTTAAAAACCTTATTCTCTGAACACTAGCTAAAACATGGCCTCCAAAAACGATGCTTCTGGGAACCACTGGCATTTCCACTGCATCACAGTAATGATTGGTAACAGCTGCAAACATGAGCAGGGCTTGGATGTTGATTTTAATTCAGTTAAAAGAGATGCAAAGCATTTCCTCCTGTGCGATGCTGAGCTGTGTCAACTCCATTAATTCCACAGAGAATTAAGGCCACTAGCAAGACTCAGTTCTGAATGCTTTTCCTCCCATGTTGACCACAGAGTGTCTGCGTTCACTTTACTAGAAGGGTGAGAGTACCAGTAGCAGGGGAGCAGCACAGCCGTGTATCGTGTGAGGGGTGTGGTGGAACGTCTCGGGGCACTGAGCTCAGTGCCTGCCATGGCCCAGCCCAGCAGGCTCTCTGTTACCCCAAGCCACGGCTTTTACACTTCCCAGCATGAGGGGGTCCCATGTTCTTGTCTCTGTCTTACAGGCCCGTTCTGCTTGAACATCTCAGAGAAACAAGAGCTGATAAGAAAAGGCTTCGCAAAGCTCTGAGAGAGTTTGAGGAGCAATTCTACAAACAGACAGGAAGGTAACTCACCAGCTCAGCAAAAGCCCTCTCCTGCTCCCTCTGGGTCCTCTGCAGGGGTGCTTGTTTCTGCCAGGGTGGGCACTCGGGGCTGAGCAGGACAAAGAGGCTGCAGCTGGGGACTGGAAAATACCGTAGAGGTGTCCATCTATCTCCCTGCTTAGTTCCTGCAGGATGTGGTCATCCCTGAGGATGGCTTGGGGCTGGGGATTTTCCAGGTCACACCTGCAATTGGTATAACCCCCATCTCAGCACAGAATCTTCCCTGAGCTGAAGGGAAGCTGCTAAAAGACTCTTTGTGAGGGTGTCAATCTGCAGGAATTACACTTGGCAGTTGGGCCAGTTTTAAAAGGCCAGGTTTTAAAAACAGAAGTCACTGTTTCTTTCAACCATAATTAAATACCAGGTACTTTTCACTCTTTGCTTTTCCTCCTCCATTTAGCAAACCTTTTTCTTGAAAACTGTGGAGGGTATGGGCAGTGGCAACTGGTAACAGTTTTCAAAACACTACAGTTACAAAGTAAGAATCAAGTGATTATGAGAATCAAGTGATTAAGTGATTGTGAGAATCAAGTGATTATGCTTGTACAGCTGTCAAGAAAGAAAATCTTCTGCCATATGAAAATTCATTATTTTAAATAATACTATTTCATTTCTGTCTATTAGAGCTTTTTGGTCCTGTCAAATTATCTTTAGTCGTTTACAGTTAGTAAAAAAAAAAAATCCAATTCTCATTAGTTGTTGCAGAATTAATTTTAAAGACATTTTCTCCTCTTACTCATAAAAGTGATGGCACTGTTATCTGCTTTTCATAGGAGTCCTCAAAAAGAAGATCGGGTGCCAATGGCCGAGGAATACTCCGAATACAAGCACACAAAAGCCAAAATCAGGCTCCTGGAGGTTCTCATCAGTAAGCATGATATTTCCAAAACGATTTGAAGTGAATGCAATGCTGTGATATTGTTCTCTAGCAAAAAAAAAACAAGTAATGAAAAAGATAAAGTAATTTTACAGGTCTTGGTCTGCTGCACAATTACTTGACACACTGAGATTTTTGATGCACTTTACCAATTATAATAGCTGGGATGAGAGAGGACAGCAATATGCAAGAATATTAAGCACAGGTGAGTGGACTATAGTATATATTTTTCCTTTTGAAAAAGCCTTGAAGTGCACTGTGAGAATATTAAGAAATGAAAAGGACACTGAAGTGTTGTAGCTCCTCAGTTTGACCTGCTCTAAAAGTGTGAGGAAATGCTCTCCAGGTTTTTAGTACATCTTAGTACATTATAATGTACTACGTTTGTTTCCAGAATTAACATGCACTAGAATTAACTATTAATGACGGCTCTCAATGTGCTGATTAAAGGAAATGAATTAAAACAAATTAAGGGAAAACTCCAGACATACTCTGGCTTTCAAGACAGAGTTGGCATTCAATTCCAGTAGCTTCAAAAAAAGGTGCATAGAAAAAAACCAGTGCCAGGGAGTAGAGCAAAGTGATGCTGCTTATGCAAAAAAAAAAAGGACAGAACATGATGGCCAAATGGAACTATTGGTTTTTTAGAGATAAGAGAAAAAAATAGAGGTTACTGGGAAGAGAGAGACCAAATGTACCGGCTGCTGTCCTTTTCACTAGTTCACAGGACCTGGCTCACTTCACTAGTTCACAGGACCTGGCTCACAGAACTTAATAAATAGATCAACTAACTACATGCTAATTTTGATTTTTGTACGAAACTTTGCACTTTGTTTTGCCTGATGCTATAACATTCGCTTTTCTGACTACCAAAGCTCGTTTAGACGCATGCACTTTGTAAAATGTTGAAGTACTTCTTGTGTTATAAATTGCCACATATATATATATATTAAAACAGGACTAGATTATTGCATTATGCTAAGATATTTTGGATAGATAAAGTACATGGTATGTAAGTGAGTGTCACAGTTATCTGATGAGGATTGCTAGACTTCTTGTTTACTGAAAATAAGATTATAAAAAGTTATTTTTCCATTGGAATTATGCATATTTCTTAACTTTCAGAGCACCACACTTTGTATTATTAAGGAGAATTTGTCACTCTTTGTGATAGAGCATTGGTGTGAAAAATGGACTGTTAACAGAAGGATTATCAGCAGGTTTTGTATTAGAAATGAAAAGCAGGGGGATTCTGGGAAATACCTAGCCCAGACATAAAGGAGGGAAGAATTAATTAAAGAGAGAAAAAGGGACTTGAGTAAGTTGAATCATGTTTAGTGTTTTGCTTTAACTGTCATTTTGTATTGACCACATAGTATAAGCAATCTGTTTTCTATCTTGGTAAGAAGATTTTGATTTTATAAAGCCTATTATCTACCAACCACGTTTGTACTTATCTTGCGTGTAATGGCATGATTTTGAAGATGGACACATCTTCAAGTAGTTTGGAGGAAAAAATATGAACACTAAAAAAGGAGTTTTTTATTTCGCAGACGGTTGGTTGTTTCAGTGTACTGACTTAATAATTTATAACTTAACTTTTATGAATCAGAAATGGTCTTCATAAATCTGTTTTAATTGAAGTCATCTAGAGCAACAGGAACAGATACAGAGCTATTTGAAGTTTACAAACTACATCTTTGATAAGGGAAAATGATTTAATGATATATGTATACAATTGATATTAAAATGTAATCTATATATTCTATATGATTGTATAATATTTTATACAACAGTACAAATAAAATATTTTTCTATTATATTTATTATGTCGAGACACAGTTTCTGTTTTCAGTTAGCTAATATAAATAACATAAATAACACTGTCAAACAACACATTGGAAGTGCTGACATCTCTAGGCTCTGAAATTCAAATCATGCTGCAATTACAACCTTTCATGCTGTTCAGAGTTATCCCAGTACTTGTTCAGTAGTTAAAATGAATGCATATTTAAACACCATTTATAAGCCGTTATTTTTATTTTGCTAAAGCAGTTTATATAGGATTTTGTTATGTTTGGCAAGAAACAGAAAACAATTTTTGCAGCATCTAGGGATAAATGGTTGCCAGAAAGAAACCCAGGGCTTCTAATCATTTAAAGCATCGGGGCAACAGAAGGGAAAGAGGGAGAGAAGAAATACTAAGAACGCTATTGGAGATTTTGAAGACTCGTGTTTGCTTTTGGTGAGAGCAGCATGTGCATGCTTCCGACAGAAACGTCTGACTATGGACATGGGCAACAGAGGTTGGAAGGCTCCTAAGGAACGAGGGAAGTTTTAACGTCCAACACTGATATTGCAGGTCTTGCAGCTGGGATCTTTCTTTGCGTTTGCGGTAGACAAGCTCATTAGTTGGTGACCGGTAATTTCCGCAACTGTGCCGAGGGACAGATCCACAGGATCGGTGTAAATTACTTCCAAAATAACATCCTGGGCGTGATGGTAAACCATGACACCGTCTTCTTCGTCACAGGTCAGAAATTTATTATCTTTTATATTTAGCTGAGGAAGGCGCTGCTTACAGAACTCATCTCCCGGTGACCCCACGGGGGCGATCACGAGGATGACGTAGTGGTAGGCTGTGTACATGCAGTAGAAGTCTCCAAAGTACAAGTTAGTATTTGGGTTGAAGAGTTTTTCAGCTGCAATCTCATACCTGTATCTTCCATACGGTGAATCTTGTGGCGGCTTCCCAGTGTTAAACTCAGTGTTGCAGCTAAAGAAGATGCCTTCCAGCTTCCCGCTGATCGGAGAGCCATGGCTGCCACTGTTATCCTTAACAGAGGGCTGCATAGCATTCCCATGATGCTCTCTACAAATGAATGACTGGTATTGTTTATTTTGTAACACATGGTAAAGAAAAAGTGGAAAGTTAGGACATCATGCTGTTTGGAAACAGTACTGAAGGGACAAAAAGGAAAACTGTCAAACTGAAAACGAGGTTAGTGTCATGATCTTAGGACCAAGAAAATCAAGTGACATCAGACTTGGGAAGAGCTACAGTAACTCCTGCTCTAGGGGGAAATCTGCTTTTCCAGTCTGGCTTTTCTGTCAGCTCTGTGGATGTTACATGCAGGCAAAAAACAGCACACACAAAAAGCCCCCAAACCACCGATATCTTTAATTAGCTCATTTGTTCAGTCTTCCACTACAATTCTAACAATAAACACATGTTGAGTATTGCAAGTCAGTCACCATATGCTGAATATACTGTTTGTTAATGTGTATTTTTAGCATAGGCAGTATATAGTTCATGTAGAAAACTGCCAATGAAAGTTATTTCTGAAAGATGCTTTTCAGAGAGGTTATGGGAAGGAATGTACTGTCTGCCATAGTCTATTTTCCCCCAAATGATAATTTCCAGTCTAATTTGTCTACTGCTGACTTCAATCAGAGCAGAGCTGGGCACAGAGGCAATTTGGTTAGTTTCCATTTTGGTTGGTATCCAGCTCCTGCAGTCACTAGTCCTAAGGGGAAAAAACTGTAAGAATAACGTTTTGTTTTTTTTTTTTTGCAAGCTGAGCTCAATTTCATTCCAGTGAAAACGTACAATGTACAAGTGAGTTTTTAATCCTCCAAATCTCAAATTGCACTCAGCAGCATGAGGCTGCTAAACTTCGGAGAACACTCCAAACACCTCATCTAATCCTCCTTAGCACCTGAGATGTTTTGTATAGCAGGACATTCCACCTGTCTGGAAGTGCCCCAGTGATAACTTTGACTCTCTCTGCACCTGCAACCATGTGATGCCCGAAAGGGAAATATGCCCTTTTGTAAGTCCTGCAAAACATATCTGCTATGCACCCTTAGAAAATTGCCTTTATGCTCACTGAAGATTATAGATTAAAAATACATGAATCTGTGGGACTGGAGAGTCCTATATCCCCCTCTTGCTTTGCTTTTACTTTTTTTTCTTTTTCTCTTTTCCTTTGCTCCTTTTTTTTTTTTTTTTTTTTTAGGAGAGGGAAAACTAACCAAGAAATACTGTTCTCTCTCTCTGCTTTTGACTTGCAAAAGGTCCGGGTAAAATGGTGCTGCATGGGAGAAGGTTTTACTTGGTTAATATGGGAGGTAGCAATCAAAGCAAAAAAATTCAGTGTATACCTACAGACCAGCTCTAAATCAGCTCAGTAATGTCTCCAACTGTGGGGTTTTTTTCCTTGTTTCTAACTTCTCATCAGCACATTTGACTCTTAAGAGAAGTTCCAACAGTTTTCTGGGGCCATTCAAACACTACTTAGTTATTGTCTCAAGCCATATTTCACAAGACATTGATTGGGTTGGGGGGGTATAATTAGTATTTTATGAAGTTATTACTATGGAGAAAAAAAAACCCCAAAACCTAAAAACTTGAATCAGCTTGGATAATCCCCTGAAACATCTACAACCTGAAAAGTCAGACGGCACTCAGTGGGAGTCAGTTCCATTTCTGCGGCAAGATACTGACATCCAGTGGCCAATTAGGCTAATTATAGGTCGCCCTTTCAGGGGATCTGAGCTGCTTAGTGCTGCTCCCAGGCGAGATAAACAGCAGTGACATGAACACCACTTATGAGCTCACACTGCAGACCCTCCATTTAGGGGCTGCTGCTTTAGCTCCGTGACCAGTTGCTTGTTTGCCAATGCTACCAGAGCTTTTCCAAGCTTGTTTGCTAGTCATGACACCACAGAGGCCACTGGCAGGCATGGTATGACAAGGAATATTCCCTAAAAGGGAGCATGTGGTTGGTTATTAACATAACATGCAGAAGGGTGTTTGGTGGAAGGACCAGCCCTTGTGACCATTTTAGACTATTTCTGACCAAAAAAAGGCAACCATCAGCCAGTTACAGGTGGTGCAGCTTCTCTCTAACCTCATAAAACACAGCTTTTTGTCTCTAACTCACTAACTGAGGGAAAACAAACTCACAGAATCACAGAGTATGCTGAGTTGGAAGGGACCCACAAGGATCATCGAGTCCAACTTGTCTCTATTTGTGTAGAAGCAAGAAAGAACTTAACAGGAGGGAGGGGAAAAGATACAGTGCAATCAGTTGGAGTCACATTTGGCAGAACAAGGCCAAACCCACAGCTTTAAATGCACCTCAGTGGCAATTTTCAACACTAATAAACACAGAGGCAGATGCACTACGATTACATTGCTGAAAACAAAGCGACATAAGAATCGGAACCCCCACAGGCATTTCCCTTCTGTGGTATCTAGTCCAGGATGGCAGCTGAGCTTCACAAGGTCCTCAAAGAGCCTCAGCAATCACAAGTCATTTCCTACCTCCACTGAGTTTTGCAGCTTTGTCGCTATGTGCAATAAAATAATCCTTCCAAAACACAGAAGGGGAAGAGCAAGCCCATGCTCTGGAATATACAATACACTCTTGGAATCAATCAGAGACTCATGACTTCAAAACGGGAATGTTTCCAAGGGTGGTGGAATCTGTTCTTTGAAGCTGGATTGCCTGGAGTAATTTTTTTTCTTCACCAGATTTAAAAAACTTTCCATTCTAGACAGGTACTGGTGTGACACATAGAACAGAATTATGTGGCACAGCAGGAGCCCCATCTCCCAGTGCATCTTAAAGAAGCACAGTCAGTGCTGCCACCCTTCTGACACTGCTTACCTCTCATCCATGTTCTTCTAAGGGTGGAAGGTTACCCTGTGTGGTGGCTGGTCCTGCTCAGTCAGCACATGAGCTTTGACTCCTTCTATCAAAAACTCTGCTTTCCTCTTGTGTGCGAGGGCACACTGGGTTCTCCAGCAGGAATAGGGAACCTACCTCCAGCTATCCCATTTATTCATTCCAGCTGAGGCATGGTGTCTATAACTGTTTAAACATCATCCCCTCTCCCTCTACATATGATCTATAAGTTAACACACAGATTGCAGAGCCCATATTTACCACATTAGGGGATGGAAATGTGATGGTTCTACATGGAGAGCAAATAGTTGAGATGGAACTCTCATACACAGGCAAATGCCTATGCACACAGCTGTACACTCCTACTCTCACTCTTAATTTCTTAGTACAGTAGAAATATTTGGCTACTAAACACTGTTATGATAACAGACACTTTAATCAGGCTGCACACCCTGTGAGTACCCCAGTTTCTGCCACAAAACACAGACTTTTATTGCCTAATGGAAGTGCTGAATTAAGCAAGGTGGAAGAAACGAGCTAGTTATATTTTATTCTTTGCTGCCTTCTGAATGGGCTATAAAGCACACAGACATCCTGCTCTAGCTGTAGCACAGCTGTCTCTATTTACTTATTTTCATTACTCCCTTAATTTTCCAAACGATTTTTGCATATGTTTGCTTTCTTACCTGATATAATCAAAGTATTCTTTGTGCTGATTCCGATAAAAAACAGACAGTTTGAGCATACGGCCTGCAATCACTTCAGCCTTTTCCAATAGCTGTGTTAGGTGAACTTTTGAATAATCTGAAAAGAAAAGACAAACTGCTAGTGCAGGGGACAGGAAAAAACACAACACTCACCAAAATCTACACAGACATGCAGACTTAAAACTGGGAACAGAGTCTTGGTAACATATACATCACATTATGTCCCCAGTTTCCAATGGTGGCAACAAAGAAATGGCAGGAACATGCATGTGTGATTCTCCCCTCTCCTTCCCCCACAAGGACTTTGCAAGCCTCAGGATTTCCTGTGTTAGAGCTGGTTTCTCTGTATTTGGGACCGCAGAGGAGCTGAGAACTGCCCTCTCTGGCTGATGTCAGTTGATTAACACACCAAACCTCAGCACATGC